CACAGAGATAGGTATCAAGTTTTGTATACTTTTTTTATATATATATAATAACTTTTTCACACACAAGAAAAGAAAGGTCAGACTTCAGTTTGACTGTGAATGAAAAGCAATAAAGTGAGACTTCCCTAAATATGAGACAAACCAAAAAGAACTTGGCATGAAAAGAGAAAAACAAAAGCAAGCTAAGAATTCTTTTCCTTTTTGTTTTGAGCAGATAAGTTAAGATCTCTTTGACAAGCAAATGCATTAGGTTAATATCTTTTCGGTTGTCGATTGCATTTACGCATGGTAATTACATACATTATGGAGTGTTTTTTTCTGAGTTCTACTTAATAAGGGGAATTATGGAGTTGAGTTTTTGTGACATTAGTGAAAAAAACAGATTTGTTTTGGATTTATTGTACAATCATTTGGTGATGTGAGGATTTGAGAACCCTTTAAACACCATTAAGTTGTTTCATCATGCTTTTGGTCTGCCCCCCAAGTTGCAGCAGCAGCACTTAATTTAATTGCTATCTCTAGATTGTTTCCTATCCCTAGCTGGAAGTATCATTGACTACTTAGTAGATTGAGTGAGGTGTCCTAAATGTTGTATTATTGGTCAGGTCTCCATTGAGGAAACTCATAGCATAGTAAGTCTGCTTTGATATTATGTTGATTTCTACTACTACTTATCTGACTTCTCTCTATAGTAACTCGTTGCGCACTCGATATATTCTTATCTTGTCACCAATTCTACTATTAATTTATTTATGAATCTAATATTGAAACTTCTTCTAATTGCTTAAACTTTTGGGATAAGTGGTAATCCATTAGAAAAAAAAAAATCTCTCATGGTATTATAGCATATCGTCTGTCCGAAATATATATCTACATATTTTTTGTTTCATCTAATATTTAATTAATATTTGTGTAATATTCTTCCATATATAGTTGACTTGTATCATCATGCGCTTAAGTTTAATTTTTAATACAATCAAAATTTTTATCAACTTTTTTAATGCCTTGGAGCTGTTTTTTTTTTTTCTTTTAATTCTTTTTCAAGTGCCTTGAGAGAAAATCAATGCTTGAATTGGGGCCTTGATTCATGCATGAAGTTATCCTTACCATTCCGGCTCCCACCTTGTGTCTCTGTATCCCAACCATGTGGGGGACCTTCTTTTGCATGGCCAGTCCTTTCATGATGACTGTCCTTTTTCATGATGACAAAGAAGAAAAAGTTTTTGATATATCTTCATGAAATAATGAAATTATAAATTGTTAAGTTACTATCAAGTGATTCAAGTCTTTGGTTTCAGCAGAAATAGGCATGATTCTGAGAGATGGTTGTGCACAGTTAGTGGCTTGATCTTTACAATCACCTCAGGATCATGAAACCAAAACCTTTCTTGGTCTTCAGACAAGTCTAAAACAGAATAATGATGATTTATTGAAATAAATGTCAATTAATGCATGAAACTTAGTACCATATTGTGTGTGGTTCACATACTGAATCAGCTGGTTATGTTTAGAACCAAGATGTCATTATTTTGTCTCTCTGTTAATCCATATACAATTCAGAAAGATCATGCAATTATTTTGTCCCTCTTAATCCATCACTTTGTAGGTCTTTGTAGGCTTTGGTTTCTTCCAGGACATCTTCATTATCAAGTTGAAACACCTAAAAAGCCATGTTTCTTGTTTGCCGCCTTGTCAACTCTTCTTTTAATGAGTGCAGCTTCTGCATCATATTCTTTTTTCTTTGAAGCAAAGTGTGCACACCAATTGGTTAGAGTACTAATTGAATCTTTACAATCCTTTTGCCTTTCTTTGTCTCTGCATGTGCTGGATAAATCTGCTGCTGCTGCCTTGTGTGTCACAGGCAAAAGCCTAGGGAGGATTAACATGTTATCTTCATCATCAAAGGTGAGGAATTCGATCATTTTCCTTGGATGCACCTGCTATGCCGAGACTCATTTCTCTCATTTTAGTTTCTTTCCTGAAACATTGTACTTCTGTCGATGTATGTCTGTAAGATTTCCTGTCTTGGGATAATACTCTTCCTCTTATTCTCTCTGGTATCATCTCAGTTGCTTCTTTGTGGCATCTGATCATGTGTTTCCAGCATTCAAATGTGGTTTAGACATTGTCTTCCACCATTCTTGCAGCCTTTCATCTGTTAAAATAAAGATCACACCTTGGTCTGGCAGCTTTTTCTCTTTCACAAGTGGAGGGAAGATGCAGTAGAAGACCATCATCATATCTTTATTTATGTATTTATCCTTTTCAGACTGACAGCAATGCTCTTATGCTTGTGACAGTGACCAATCCAATCCTTTCTTTCTGGTGATTATTAGAACTCGGCAAACTTGAAACTGGGACGGAGCTATGCTTTCAGAAGAATCCTAGGGGTTGCCATTCTTTTGAGCCTTCAGTAATGCAGCTTGTGAGTTCATAGGCAGTGAGATCAAGCAGCCTGGGCACCGTCAACTATTCCTTCTTTGGTAGTTAAGCTACAACAAGGCAAAGACCACATTAGCACCAGATTACAGGACAAAAGTCTTCTCAGGAAGCTGCAGTTTAAGATCAGCTGTGATCTTAAGCTAAAGGTTGGCTATTTCTTCCATTTTCCCTCTTTTCTTTTCTATGCTATTGAAGCTGAGCCTGTTCTTCACCTCCCAAATCATATTTCCTTTCTGTCAACTTTCAAGGAATTGTTAGTTTTAGTATGAGACATTTGTGCTAAATGAACTCAATCATAGTGAGGAGAGAGTTTTCCTTTTATCATGGAGACCAACCTGCAATTCTTTTTGTTGATTTCCATGCTATTTTCTTGGGAGTATGGATCCAGATTAATATGTAGCTCTTGAGACTATGGAGATCTTGACATAGTTTTTGTGGATGTGTAGCAGAATACATATGCTTAGCTTTTACAACTTAGTACTTGGGAAACATCACTCCCAACTCTCCCTCAAGGAAACTTATATTTGCATGACTAATTAATGCTTATTTCTTGGGTCTGTTGTGCTGCTATGACATTTTGCTTAGCTTCCTTCAAAAGAAAAAAATATATTTTATTTAGGTTGCTGATTGATTATCTTAATCTCTTCTTACCAGGAAAAGATTTTGGTTGGAAAGAAATTTGTTGCTAGTTAATTTGCTACACAGTTTATTACTACTGCTCTTGATTACTGTGTATAATAAGTTGAAAGCAAATCCAAATTGGATGTTAATTTGACAAAATGAATTGATGATCTCAGAACTTTTTTTATTTACTGTGATGTTTCTGATGGTGTGGTAAGTTTTCTTCTGATCATCATCTTCTACATGTTCTTAGACTTGTGTTCTGCTTCATTCTGAGAGTGCTTGGACAAAGACAGCTGCTTGTGGTGGCAAAAGGATTCAAAGGTGGTGCCGAAGTTATGATGGCTATCATCTTAGTTTCCCCTGCCTTATTGAGCTAATCCTTCAACCAACCGGAGCACATCGAAAAGGAGAGCCTTACTGGTTGCAGAGTAGCAGCAGCAGCAGCTGATCACCATGAATGGCTTTGGAGATCGACCAAAGATGTGGAGTGACAACACAACTCCATCAGGAACAAATGACAAGGAGGCTGCTTTCAAGGACTTGAGCTCGTCCATGAATGCTCTCTCCTTTGGCTTCATTGCAACAGCAATCTTGGTATCCATGTTCCTCGTCATGGCGATCTTCGAGCATTTACTCAGATCAAGGGCCTCTCACCCACCATCTCAAACCAATGCTCATGGACACCTGGAGATGCGCCAAGAACAGGATCAGATGCCTCCAAAGATGATCAAGAACTGGCAAAATGTAAGTTTACAAGCATGTCTGTTTGAATCTCTTTAGAAATATCATCCTTCCCACTGCAATCGACCAAAAGGACATGAAAATTGAACTCCACATCCAGAAAAGATTCAGCTTTATGATGATTTCAGTAACACAGACTTCCTTGACATGGATGACTTCTCTTTTAGCTCTGTGTTATACATGAATTCCACAGTTTTTAGTTCTCTCTTTTATCACTTGTGCATAAAATTAATTCTAGTTCTCTTTCTGCAGGTGGCAACTTCAAGCACAGTTGACTTCTCAGTCTTGATGCCAGGGCAACTCTATCCAACATACCTTGCTCAACCGGCTCCTCTCCCTTGCCCAAGAGAAGGGATCATTTGGCCTTCTCATGACCACCATGCCTTCGCTTCTCCCTAGCTTTCAATTCCTCCTTGATCCATTCAGATCTTGTACAAGCCCATATGCCCCTTGGTCACTTGTCAAAATGTACTTCTCCCCTATTGATTTATCAACAAAGTTCAGCTGTTCATCGGTGTGTGCCCTCTCAATTTCCCTGTTAAGTAACCGTGTTTTTCTTACTCATGTTCTGCATCTTCAATCTCCGACTCAGTATGCTCATCAAGGGCATCAACTACAACTGGGAGTTCACCAGATTTTATCATGCTTATTTCATGCAGCATTCTCCTGCAGCTATTAAGTACTAAATCTTGCTATGTACTTTCAGTGTTTTGGAGGAGACAACATATGCTGGACCAAACCAGGTTGCAGCATGTGGTCCTTTTGCAAAGAAATCTCATATTCATATGATGAAGCATTTCCAATTACTACCAAAAGTGATTACATTTGCTTATTCTGAAGCAATTGTGTTTCTGCAAAGTTCTGACCACAAAATGACAGCATAGGGGGAACACAGGGGACTCAGGATGGGGAAACAATGAAAATTTGACTTCAATGATATGCTGCAACTTTGCTAGTAATCTGAAACTAAAATTGGGTTTTAGATGAAATATTGTGACCTTTATGATCACATATAACAGAGTCTCAGTAACCTTTTAGTTCCAGTTGACAATATTTTAATATACCACCCCAAATTTGTTCTCATTAAATTGCACCATAATTGCTTCAACATTCAGTTGAAGAGAGTTCATCAATCAAATAGCACAATTAACTATTAAGTTTTTTTTGCAAGATCTTTCATAAGATAACTAGATCAGGGATTAGGCAGCAAGATATCTACAAAAGCCTACTCATGGGTTATTGGTTAACTGCCGGAGGTGAAGAGCTCTCCAGCCGATGTCATGGCGGCAGAATCCTTCGGGCCAGTCAATTGCTTGAACTGCATCATAAACTCTTTCTCTAGCTTCTTCAATGTCTTTTCCCTTTGCGGTAACTCCGAGCACTCGACCACCAGCAGCAATGAAATCACCATTTGAGTTGAAATCAGTGCTTGCATGAAAGATCTTAACCATAGGGGAAAGCAGCTCTGCTTCTTCTAGGTTTCTTATCATGGTCCCCCTCTTGTAGGGTCCAGGATAACCTTCACTGGCCATGACCACCACCATTGCTGATTCAGTTGACCAATTCAGTGACACACTGCCCAATTCTCCTCTGCAGGCTGCAAGCAAAACTTGTGCCAAATCAGACTCCAAACGCATCATCAGAACCTGTTTATCGTGGAACAAAACAGAAAAAAATATGTTAGTTGACTGCTTGCTGAGAGACTAACTCATGGCTTGAAATGACCACACAAGGGACGGAATCTTATTACAAGCATGGAACGATGAACCTAGTAACAATATGCTAATGTGTCAGAATTTAAATGCTTCAGTCAGATAGTAGGTCTAGAGGTGCCGAACTGAATCATATAAGTTTGCAATGTTCTGCTATGAAAAATAGAGACCAATCAAAGCTCGTCAATGGCACAATGATTTCCTGTGTAATTTGCTGCCACCAAGATAGTGGATACTCGAATGGAATTGTATCACATGATTTGCTTTGCTTTTTGTGTTGGAAAAATGAATTGGATAACTACTTACCTGGCATTCTGGATCTCCAAAGCGCACATTATACTCGATGAGCTTAGGCAATCCCGTTTTTCTCTCAATCATAAGACCAGCATAAAGCACACCAACAAATTTGCAGCCTTCAGCTGCCATTCCTTTCACGGTCGGAAGAATTATCGATTCCATGACAACAGACTGAAGCTCTTCTGTTAGTACCGGTGCAGGAGAGTATGCCCCCATTCCACCAGTATTTGGACCAGTATCACCATCACCGACTCTTTTATGATCCTGTGCAGATTCAAGAGGTAAGGCATTTTCACCATCTACCAGTGCGAAGAAAGAAGCTTCCTCCCCCTCAAGAAATTCTTCAATTATGACTTGTGAACCAGCAGAGCCAAAAGCACCATCAACCAGCATGGAGTCTATGGCTTCATATGCCTCCTCCAAAGTCATGGCTACAATGACTCCCTTCCCAGCAGCCAGTCCATCCGCCTTGACAACAATTGGTGCACCTTGCTCCTTCACATATTGTTTTGCAAGTGAATCATTTGTAAAAGTTCGATACTGCATGGATGAGCACAAATTTTAGAAACAAAAAACTAATACTAAAATACCAAGATCAGAGATTAATTATCCATGAAAGATGAGTGTTCCTCATTTGACAGGAAATGAGTCATTCTTTGAGAGGAAAGAGAATGACTTGAATATAAAAATGATAATCATAGGGTATAAATGGGTTCAACATTCACAGTATAATACCTTAACATAGAAAATTTTAATGAACAAGCGAGATCAAAAGTATCTATCAGTAGTGCTGGGTCCATGATTAACCTTGGTCATCAACTTCATTAGGTTAATGACTGAGGTTAATCATTTGCGATACCTGGATAACTTATTCTGAAGCAACCTCCAAAACACAGTGGAATCACTAATGAAGTATTGCAAAATTAATGTGCCAGTATTAGGATATACTGATAAAGCCTATCAGAACAGAAGCTTAACATACTTTTGCTGTAGGGATGCCATATTTGTCACACAACTTCTTCATAAAGTCCTTTGATCCCTCTAGTGCTGCAGCCTCAGCCGAGGGACCGAAGGTTGGAATCCCGGCCTCAACTAGATCATCTACGAGGCCAGCCACTAAAGGAGCTTCGGGGCCCACTACCACCAGTCCAACTCCCCATTTGCGGCAAAAGGCAATCACAGCTTTGCTATCAAAAATATTCAGGTCTGATATGCAGGTGGCACTTCCAGAATGAGAAATCCCAGCATTACCAGGGGCACAAAAGACTCCATCACAGGATGGTGATCGCTGCAAGGCAAAGCAAAGTGCATGTTCCCTTCCACCACCACCAATAACCAAGGCCACCACTCTCTCTCCTGACAGAAAAACTAAGCAAAGTCAGTTAAGAATCATGCTGGTAAACGAAATTTTAAGCAAAAGAAAAAAACTGATATTAAGATAAGAAAAATAAGAAACAACAAAAAACATATTGACCTTGAAAGTAAATTTGAAAAATTACAAGCAGCAAGTAAGAAAACAGCAACAACATTATGATACAAAAAAGGACTTGAATTTATCTGGGCAAACAGAATCATATTGACAGTTAACTACTCAAAACTTGCATGAACACATAAGATCATATCTAACTACTCAAAGAAGTCAAAGCAACATATCAAAATTCAAACTTGCATAAACATGTAAGATCAGAACAAAGATCATGCAGAGAGTCAATATAAGCAATACACACAGCAATTTTAAATCCAGATGTTTGAGTTAGGTTACGTAAAGATGATGTAGGACTATTAATGTATAAGTAATACCTTACTGTCACTCTTCAACTGCAGCTGACACATACAGAAAACTACACCATAATTCAGACAAATATTATTAGAAGAAAGTGCAATTTTTTTGTGAATGTGACCAATTAGAGATCTTCTAACGTTCTATTACAATATATATGCATACTTTTTGCACAGACAGAATTTACATAGTAGGGCTATGTACTTATCTTGAGTAGCAAGATGCATAACAAGTGGCTTGTGCTATATCACATCCTGATGAATTGTAGATTATACATCAAGCTGAAAATCATGTGCTTTGATTTAAACTAGAAGGTTCCGTCACAAATGCTAAATGCAGATCTGTCTTTATAAGTCGAAGAACATTGTAATTCCTAATACCTTGGCACAACAGAGAAGGATACCTACAGCAATGTCCAAACTTATTGGTCCATATTTCTGACACCTCAATGGTCCCATATCAGGAAACAAGGAAAGGATAGACTTTCATCAACGTCTCGAGTGCCAATCACAATCACAGTTTGAAGCATTTCCGGCAACATAGAAAGAACTCCACAAAGATTATCAAGCAAGTAGGTTATTTAGGTCTTGGGAGTATGTCATCCTCGGTTACTACAGTACAGCAAACTTTTAGAATCTGGTAATAAGAAAAACATTTTTTTTTCTTTTTTTCCAAAACAAAAAAAAGCTAGATTACTAAATCAAACGCATGCAACCATCCCCTCTGCTATCAAAGGCAATCAAAACATTTTTCTTTCATTCCCTTTGAGAACAAATTGAAATCTAAACCAAATACAGCCGATGCAAACAAATCAACATCATCACACAGATTCCGTAATTTCAGAAAGCATCGATCAAACTAAAACAACCCGTTGAAACCATCAGCAAAATTATATGTCTATTCACTCGATCAAAGCCCCGAAGAACTATTAACTACATCGCACAACATTAAAGTTAAGGTTTCGGAATATCTCACCGGAATCCTTTGCGCTGCCATTGTCACTGCCGGAAAGGTCTGAATCATCAGATTTCCCATTAACACCAATCGAAGCCCTCGTGACGAAGTTCCCCCGAGGGAACAACGTGAGAGATTCTGGAGCACCGGAGACCGACAAGGCACTCCAAGTCCGCCGCTGACCCAGGAAACAGACCTTATGACTCAAACCGCCGCAAAAACGATTCTTGGATAGTGTCATCGCCGGTAGCTTCCACGAGCTGCCGATGCTGTTCCGAACACAAGCCATCGATTCCCTGGCGTCAAGCACAACCAACAAATCAACAAAAGGAGGATCGGGAAACAGACCAAAGAAGTAGAGAAGAGAAAAAGATCTCACGTCCGGAGTTTCGGCGGAGGAAAGGGGAAAATCGAAGGCGTTCTGCTTTCGTGCTTTTGTTGTTTGCGTTGCCACTGGCAACCGGAGAGCCTAAATACACTCACGAAGGCGGCGTCTGAGGGTCGATGCCACCGCGCCCGCTGTATACTGCGTTGCGATGATCTCAACGATCAAAAAAGCGTACCTGATCTGACGGCGGAGATCGAGATTGGAAGCGTACAGAAAGCAATGAAACGAGGGGTGGGACCGCGGGATTGTTGCTTACGGTGGGCTCACAGTAGAAGACCACATTGGTCGCTGATATAGAAGTTAATTATATTGCTTACGACACCCTTGCACTATAAGCTAGGAATACGCAACATTGTTGTTTGCAGATTTATAGGATGAAGGAAATGTTAATAAATGCTTTTGTTTAGTGAGATGGATGGATAATGATTAGTTCTATTGGCTGACGATTCTAGCAACATCAAGGCTCATCATCGCTCTAATCTTACAGGCAGAAGATTTACCTGATTATAGAAAATACCATATACATATGGCATTTAATTGTCTGGATATTTCTTTTCACAACATCCAATGAAAATACAAAAAGAAATGTAATGAACAATTATCATCCTTTTGATTAAAAGAAAATAAAACATGACATACAAAATCTTAGTTTCCAGAGATTAACTTAAAAATGCATTTTTATCATTTCCAGAGAGATGCAAATCATGACATACAAAATAAACGAGGTAAGCAATAAAGAAATACTTCAAAATTTGCCCCATACGAAGAACAGCACAAAGCATCACACACAAAATCTTAGTTTATAATACAGTCAACACCAAATTTCATCCAGACCGACCTTCCCCAGAACCCGCTCCAATGCTTCAGTCACTTACATCACTCTCTTCACTCAATCCAACCACCACTCCACTCGTCAACCACTAATGACAAACATAGGGTGCTTAGAAAGTGATGTTTCCTACTAATACATTTACCAAAATCAGGTAGTTCACAAAAGGCTTTCCCAAAACAACAAAAACCAAGCATTCTTTACATGCTCAACTAAGAGAGGTTGCTGAAAAAAGCTCCCTTGTTCTTCTGCAAAGATGCCTGAGAAAGAACTTCGTTTACGTCACCAAGCTGGTAATATTTGAACCAACCCACTGATGGATGGTCAAAGGGTAAAGACAGATCTTCCATTTCCACACCTAGTACAGCCACCATCCTTTAAAACTGTTAGCTAACAGAGGAACCCATTCTTGTATGCAACTTGCAGACCCATTAGCTTAATTATTTCACCTGCTAGCTACTTTTTAGATCATGCTGCCTTTGACTAAGCTGGAGATGTAATTTCTTATGGGAACAATTTGATAATAGGATAGTTGAACAAGCATTTACCCAAAGAGGCTTTTTACTCTGTGTGAAATTTAGATAATCAAAAACTGAGAACAGGCTGAGGTCCAAAACCAAAATGTTGCCGCAATTCAACAAATCTGCAACAATACATGTATCCTGCAGTTAAAACATTAGCAAGCAGATCAAAGAAATAGGTGGATATAATATAATGCAAGGAGTCAAACATGAAGTGTTTGAAACAACAATGATATAGGAAAAACACTTGCAATTGTTATCCTTCCAGAGTACAGAAACATGATTTTCCTGAAGGGTTGAACTAGTTTCATGAAATTTGGTTTTATTAAATTGAACTACAAACTTAATAATAGATACAAGATATTTGAACACCACAGTTGCATGAAGCTCCCACCAGTGTGGGTTATGAAGAGAGGGTTTCATTAGAAGTTTATGTAACATCTATTCCTTGCAAATAAAGTCAACCAAACAAAACATACAAATAACTCATCACAAGATTCAACTTAAAGTTGCTAAAGAACAATAAATTGCTAGTAATCACAAGATGTGATAAACTACATGGATATTGTTGAAGAAAACTCTATATAACATATAGTTGTTACTTTAGGAGGAAGATTTTTCAAATTCATTGCCGAGCATATAGTAGTTAATTTTTAATAATTTGAAGCTCCCTAATGGTATTTACAAACTCATACAAATCATAAATGCATCTTATCAAACATGGTCATCTTCTTTTTCAGCATTGATAGCAGATGACAAATGACCTGGCCATGAAAGAAGATATCAAAGGTAAAATGAAAAGTAACAACAATTGCAATTTAATGAATTTAAAAAATGCCACAGTAACTGAAAAATAAGGGCTAAGGGGTCGTAAATGACCATGAACCTAAGGTAATAGTGAAGACTGATGAAAGACAATAGGAAAGAAAAGATGGTGGTTAACATTGCAGCCTATGAAATATGGTGCAATACGTATGAAATATATAGCGAAAAATGCCTCAATGTTTCATACTGATGACATTATTTTTTTCATTTCCCAATATATGACATGCAGATCAATCGTAGATAACTTTTAGTTCAATTTATTAGGAATTTTATAAAAAAAATCTTACTATTCAACTAGAATATTCACGAACTCGAGCCTGCCTTCTGAACCCATACTTGTCTCTGCACATTATATAGGAAAAGTAAGTGCAATCTTGCAAAAGGGTAAGTGGTCTAAAAATACTATTTTATCATATTTCACCTCGTGGAAACTGTAACTGGTGGATCCTCTCTTGGAACTTTTTCCCTCTAATAAACTCAAAGAGTTATCCACTTCCTTTAAACCACGTGCTGATCCACGGCGGCCAACATGCCTATGGGAACCTAAAAAAGTTATCAAATGCTCATCAGTCATGTCGTAGTAAAAAATGCACAAAGACATTGAATCAATTTGCAATTGACAGATTCTCACCATTCTCGACTGCAGAAAGACTTCTTCTCCCTCTATGAATCTTCATGTCTTCACTTCTACTTGTATAAGGCACATCAGCTTTTCTCTCTCCATGAACTAATGACAGCTCATAGGCAGCATGTGATTTGCTGCCATTCCTAACACAAGCACTCGGAACAAACATATCCACCTCTTCAACTTTATCAGCTGCCTGTTGAGAAACGTAGATGCTTCCTAAAGAATCTGTCAACATCTGGGGGGCATCAGTGGATGGAGTTCTATCACTAGGTTGAGCTATGTCTGAGCGCCGAAGAGCCCAAATACCACGATCATGTCTATCTTTTTTTCGGGCCTGTTTTTCGTGCTTTACATTGATTGATAAAGAACCATGTGCATTGTTTATAGCAACAACCTTAGTGTCTATGTGTCTTTTATCGTCACCATCAGAAACAGATGCAATTGACGAACTACGTGATATATAGTCATTTTTTGAGCATGCATTGGGAAGCAATGGTGAGTGCTTGTCCTTCTCCACATTTGCTGCCTGTATTTGCAGCTCAGGATGGGATGCAGCTACACATGACTGATTCAGATGCCCTTCCTTTGAGAGAATGCTTCTAATGATTATTCCACTTGCCCGGTTGTGTTTCGATGTTGAAGTTGGTGAGTTTCTCGCAGATGACATCACAACCTGCTGTTGCACCACACCTCTAAATGGCTGGCCCAGGATATTCAAAGAAGTTACCATGGTGATAAAGAATAAAAGACAAAGGAATCATAAAATTCACTAAAGAAATCAGTTGCTTACATCAGAACCTTCTTTCTCCTTCCCTTTCAAGAGAATGATTCTGCTCTTTCCGGATTCAACAATTACAGAAGCTACAGAAGTTCCATTAAATCCAGTTACTGACAATTACAATTATTACTTTATGCAGTATCATAATGATATAGCATCAATTATCTCAGCTTAAAACCTTTAACCATAACGATATACATCAACCATTATCTCAAGTTTCAACTGCTGCTGCAACAGCATCTGGTCACAAATGGGCTTATTCTTAGGCAATTAGAAGTGAGTATGTTTTGTCTGTACGTAAGATTTGGAACTATTAGATGTTTTATTCAAAGGGTGGATGGATAGAGTCCATCACTTTGACTTCAACTAGTGATACATGATTCTAATTGACTTTTCTTAAATCACTTATCATCTAATTTTGGTTTACTACTACGGATTCAGAGTTTAAATGACAATTGCCAATATGCTAAATATATGGATTATTTAATTTTGTGATCACTGGGAAAAGTCATTTACCACATTGCACCTATTATAATTAAATCTGATTTCATTTTAACTGCACTGTCAAAGTTCTTTTGCTTATCACATAACTATTTATGATGCTTTTTGGTCATCAGCAGTATGTGTACACCCATATAAGCATCTAAACATAAGCAATGTAAACATGCTGAGTTTCTGATCTATCAGTTACACAAAAGTCCCAAAGGAACTGTTTCTCATCTGGACATTAAAAAAAATATCTGTGTACGATAATTTGCTTCAAATAATATGAAACAATATAAAACAATTTCAGGATCAGATATGTAAACATGATGAGTTTGAAGCTTCTATAAACATAAGCTAGATTATGGAGATACACATACATGAACCACATATAGGTTCAGATATGAGCTGTTCTGTTTATTCAGGTAACTGAATTTCACCTGTGCCTGAGTGCAAACCTGCATAACTCAAATTTTGTTCTACAATAGGATATTCAATGGTATATATCAGATTTTTAAGAGATTTAAGGACTCGTTAGAAACATGAACTTCACCTAAAGCACCTGACTAGCAACAAGGTTCAGGGAAGTTCACCGAGCCATTTTTACAAAACATTATCACACAAATGTTGGAAAATTGCCACAACTACAATCAAACAACTAAATCAATACACAGACAATATGAGACTAAGAACAACAATGTGCATTCTCAATTTCTGGCCATGAAGCATCTAAATTTTGAAAATTTTAACAACTAGAATTTAATCTGTTCATGAAAAACTCCGATCAGAACATATAAAAAACAGAAAATCCTGGAATTCCTGATGATGCTCTTATATATGAAGTAAATTAGCAGGGGAAAACTATAAAAATTATAAGCTACCATAAAAGAGTTAAAATTCTGTTTCCAAACTATCCATTATCCACATATCAATATCCAGTCATAACGTCATATAAACACCACTAGCAACAGAAAGAAATCATAGCAATCTGAGGTTGCAGTAAAGGATCTTTTCACGAATTTTCACGAAACTACCTCATAATATAGTGCCACAAATTTTTCCCATAAAAGCAGCCCAGAACAGTGCAAACAAATCTTAACTGAAACGTCATCTTAAATGCAAACTAAATATTCAAGCACATCAGAATATCCACAAGAAAATAGAACAGGCAGCCCAAGTTCCTATTAGATGACATTTGAATTGACAGAATGTTTCATAGTGACAATTGAACACAACACGACAACATACCAAAATCATCTTCCAAAGCTTCTTTTCCCATTGCAGAAGCTACAGGAGCAGATTTATCTACTGATGGCCACTGTTCTTCTCTCCTCGACATCAAAATGTAACTTGATTTGTCTTTGGTTTTCCCCCTTTTCATAGTTTCCCTTGACACATACTGCAGAGAGTAAAAAACAAAATCATCATCCATCTTAGTATGTAGATAATATTCAAAAATGGGGTTTATAATGATGTCTCAAGATGCCTAATTAATATAATGATCCACATTCAGATGTAACTCAATCTCAAGTAAAAAAATTAAGGTGATACTCCAACAGAAGATATGCAGAAAAAAGGCAAATCAGCAAGCAAGTTCCAATGCATGCATTTGATTACACTGCTAGGTGGTAGTAGCACATTTTAATATCAGCAATTACTGTTAGGGTCCTTTGGCTGATGAAATATAATGTTTTTAGGCAGTTACAGTGCCTAACAAACATATAAATTATACAAAATCAGTCTTGTTTATTCTCGTAACAGACACTTCTACAGAGCTGCAGCAGGATTTTTCCCATGTCATTGTACACTAACGTGGGACAAAAATGTCATTAACTAGTTAAAACACTAGCCATCTCAGCACCTTGTAAATTTGCTAGTTGCATATGGGGGATACCCACCCGGATAGTACCTAGGAGGTGGAAATTGAGGGTTAAACCAACCACTTTGCTCTTGTGCAATGTTTACGAATAACAAATTCCCCTTTCCCTGCTTTTGGAACCATGTGCCATTGTGTTTTGTGGCATCGAGTTGCAAAGATCCATTTTTGTAGTAAAGTTCCACATTTCATTGTGTTTTGCATGTGTATGCCCTTTGTCCAAAAAGTTATGAGTGTGTGCGGGTGGCCAAGGCATTTTGACATCATTGTTCGATAAGGATGACTTTGTTTGTACCAGCAAGCAATGAAGTACCACACAGATTAGCAAAAAGATGCTAACCCCACAATAGCATGGCATGGTACTATATAACACATGGTTGACTTTCAATCTACACAATCACACAGTAAGCAAAAATCCATATGAAACAAGATAATACACCTCCTCAAAAGCCAAATTATTATGTTCTTTATCATCCTCAAGTGGCTCAAGTTATACGTAATTTTACCAAAAATCGTAGATGGAATCATTACAAGCAAATTCATCGAATCGGTTCATAAATAGCCTTCAAGTCAGAATTTGATCTTAATTAGGAGCTACTGGCTACACTATCATTATCGATCAATCTTTATTAGGAGCCACTGGTTCCACGATCACTGGGGGTGCTTCAAAGCTTCATGAACAGACAAGAAAGCCAGATTTTTATTTCTCATACTATCATTTAAAAGACTATGCAAGCAGAGATACTTATAAAAACTTATGCAGGGAGAGGTGGTTAAGAAAGGAAGAAAAGTAGAAACTACACACAGAAACATGCATCGACACAGCAGGAGACAGTAACTGTAGACATATCCGATGAAATAGGATACACTACAACATACTTGTCTTGACAAAAGTTGAATCCAGTTCAACACATCTTATGTGTAACTTGCAATAGATTATGACCAATGATCAACCACATGCATAAAAGTGATTATACACACATGGACAACTAGGTTATAGCATAAATATTTCAAATTTCAGAACCAAGAGATTGTTAATGAAGTTAAATTGGTCCTTGATGTAATCTGATCTGTTGGTTGTTTCGATGAATCCAGAAGAGCAATCAGTGCATGTCGAACACACTCAGGAAGGTCCTGTTATATAAAAGATTTCACATAAATAGACCATAAGAAGTTTTAAAGAATGCTAATTTACATTGTTATCTATCTTCACTCATCAAATCACCTAACCTCCATGAGCTACAAAATTCTGCAAAACATTGACACAAACTTCCTGAGTTTATATATCAACACAATATTGAAGTTGCTGCATTAGCCAAAGCACATAGAATGCTTGCAGCACTAAAGCATACAATGTAAAGCGCCAAAATCAGAGAAGATAGCCATGATTATCCAGTGAGCAATAAAGAATGAATATCTGCATCAATGCGACAGTATTAGGTATGGTCGACCAATTGGCCTAAAGAGAAACTTGGAAAAAACATTAGGCGTACTCAACCATTTGGTGCAAGGAGAATATTGGTAATAACATTAAAATTCTCAACACTTTGGATTTTCATTGTAATTTGTGTGTATGGCAGGGGAAACAGCTTTTTACCATCATTTGGAGCACCAAGTATGGATTAACAATTTAACATAGATTTCTTAAGCAGCCATTTTTCAAGCAAGAAATAGTGACAGCTAATATAGACTATCCCAATTCATCAGCACCATAGAGTTGCTTTCTATGTCCCACATATTAAGTTCCTTTACAAGAAACCCAAGTAACTTGTCCAGAAACCTCACTAGATCTTAAAAGAAAACATCTTTCATGTATCAAAAATGGCAAAAACATATCAATAATTTAGTCAACAACTTTTAACTACTGCTTATTCAGGTAAATAAATGTAGACAAAGAGGCTTCCTTTCGTAATAGTGGCTGAGTGGCTCCACATATTTCTAGAAAGCTATTCTAAACAAAAATGCTGCTTTATGGTTGCTTAGAGAGATAAAATATCTAGATTGCTTAAACGATAAACAGGGGATGCAACAAATATTATGCTTATCATATTCATAATGAGAAGATTGACCGATAATATCAAGTTAGCTCAAACAAACAGAAGATTGGGAAAATAAAAAAGAAGTGGCATGCACTTCACAAACTGATACAGCAGGAGCAGAATGACTTTTGAATAGCAGTTTGTATTCATTGCCAATTTATATTTTTAAAAAATTGGCAAATACGAAAAGAAAACAAATCTCCAAATTGAACAAGAATGAAAATATACAAACATCTTCAGGAAAAAAAAGCTTCAGATTCATGTCCAAGATCTTGCATCATCTCAAACCAATTCAAAGAAATAATAATAATACAGTAAGCAAATACATAAAACTGAAATCACAACCTTACGCTTCTCAGATCCTCTTTTAGAAGGGCTCGAGCTGCCAGTGGAAACCATTAAAGTTCTTCTGCTAACTTTACCACCACTGCATGGTCCCTGCAGCAGAAGGATATCTTAGCTTACACCCAAATGGCATAGTAAGAAATTAAGCACTGCATCTAAAAGCCCAGCAAAGCAAAACAAGCATCAAATGTTGTTGACATCAAATCCACAAGTTATCTATTATGGATCAGGCAACCTAAAAATCCACACAAGTTTAAGTTTGATATATAAACTATAAAGTAGCTCAAAAAATGTAACTTCATAAACAGACATGGCCAATTTCATCAGTTGTTGAAAGCAATTAGAACTTGTAGCCCGTGAAACCTTTTCTTATAGCACAAAAAGAGTTTATTACTTCAACAAAAACTCTTTCTATAAATGGGCGATGACATCTATCAAACGTACCACTGTTTGAGAGTATCATAATCTCCTCCATCATAATCACTGATGTACTCAACTACACTTGTCAGGTTTCTAAGAATTGTTCCTAGTAGACAGCATGCAGGAAGTGATGACATAGTAGTGGTTTCACCATGTGCATGCCCTTAAAACCATCTAAGGTGCAGCCCTTCCAAGCACAACTTTGAATATAAAGGTAAATCTTCTTAAATAATTACAAGACCAATCATGTCATAAGAATTAAACTATGTAACTAAAGTAAGGATTGGTTCACAATGAAGGATTATCTCTTGGATCAGTTTGGCTATGTAACTTCAATTTGTCTACAAACCACAGTATAAAGCAGAAAATTTACATGTTAAATTTGATTTTTCCTCAACTTATAAAATCCAAACTCAAACCCCACTATCGGCATCTAGGTAAGTGTCAAGGGCAAAAGGTAACTAGTAACTAGTAAGCAGTAACAACTGAAAAAAAAAAAGTAAAATTTTAATATAACATAAACAGCTGCTATTAAATGATCAGGATCATGATTATCAAAATGGGATAGGTTATCAACCCATTCAAGTCTTGGATCAATAATCAGGTTATTGGTTGAACCGGTGGATCAACTAGTCAGACCACAAATTTAATATTTTTAATAATAAATATTATTATGCATTATGTTAGAAATATTATATACATAGATAATGTTATAAATTTAATATTTATAACAGAAATAAATAAGAGAACGACAGTGAAAGTGAATGGTATGGGTGACAATGATGACAAAAGAGTAGACATGTTAAGGGGACAAGAGAGTGATGAGTATCCATCATCCTTATAATTTAAAGATTTAGATATCCTTGAGGGCATTTCAATCTCAAATAGTAGTTAGTGAACTGTACTGGTTGTTGATACTTGATAGTTCATTCCTGGTTTTCTTGGTTCGACCAGCAGATACCATCCTCTGAGTTTTACAGCTCTGCTTAGAACTTCTTTCAACACAAATAAATTTGTCAAAAATCTTCCTGAAGTAATTACAATAGGTCATTCATAAGTGCCAAATATGTGAAGCTATACACAGGAAGATTAACTTGTTAAATTTTACACATACAACGACATCAACTCCATTAAATTGTTTAAATCAAAATAGCGAATTGTAAGTTTGTAACTAGGGTAAATTCTATCAGCAGAAACATTACAGAAATCAGAAAACAGCAACACCTTGTTTGCTTAACAAACAAATTCACTGACTCTAAAATGGTCATCAAGTTACTGATTAGAGATGGGAGCATCCAGGAATTATTGCCGTGAACAAGAAAAGGGCAAAAGCAACAATGCTGCAATTATATTCCATTAAGTGTAGGTATAGATGTATAAGAAAGAAAATAAGAATCAAGCAAGCCTTTGGCACCCTGATGATGCCCCCATCCCTTAGGTGGCCATTGGCCTTAAAACCCTAAAATGTGCAGGTGGATACTGCACATAATGGCAGGACAGGCCAAGTGTCAAGATAGGCATCTGTTACAAAATACATATATCAACAGTTCCTTTATAAGGTTGGATATAGGCAAACACCCATGTTAGATGATGTAAAGTTACAAAAAGAGAAATTGTAAGTCCACACGATTCACATTATACCTGAACACCACCTTTAGCTGCTCTTTTTCGTCGAACAAAATCCATTAGGGGTGTCACTATGAGTGATTCTTTTGTACCACCTATGGAACAGGAAAATAAATTTGATAAGGCAAGAGATTATTTTCTCATTGAATGAGCTCATAATCTTACGAATTATTCTATTGAGCAGCATATAAGATGACATTAGTGCATCCAAGTATTAAAACTGACCAGCTCTTTCAGCTTCTTTCCTCTCTAGCTGAACCTCAGCACTAGGAAGATGTTCCACAGGCTTCGATAAGAGCCCAAGAAAATCCATATATTCAGGATCTAATTATTCATCAGAGAACTACTAATTACTAAAATGGAATGCCATAAATACGAGCGTAATATACCAGGTCATAGCATATAAAAAACAAGTACATAGAGGAAGATGTACCCTTAGATAGAGTCCCTTCACAAACATCTTTCTTTGACCATGGCTTTGGAACTCGTTGGGAGGGTGCATACTCTATGACAGCTTTGAAATGAGCACCTGGCATGACATATTTAAAAAAAACCCATCATTCAAAACCATGACATAGATAACATAGAAAAGGCGATCACAAGTATTAAACAATTAAATATAATATATCGGCATAGTAAATAGCTAGCTTAGTGCTCAAGTCTGAACTTTATTTGAAAAAATGTGCAACCATGCGCACACAATTCACCTACAAACACAAAAGTTCCATATGGGTAAGAAGTAAGTTTTGTGTATCAGCGAAACGATAAGCAAGAAGTCATGCACACACAAAGAAACACACATGCGTACAAGCCTGGCCATGCCTAGGAAGGAGGTTGAATTCTTAAAGAAAACATGAAAATGGTTTTGATAAAAGAGATTATTTATTCTTATCTCTATAACTTCTAGTTTACGATATAATAATTATTCCAATACTGTGGCCAAGGTAGTAGGTACAAAAAACATAGAGAAGAAAACTCAAACTCAAAATATCAGTAAACAAGCAACTGCACTGTGCTAACATCCAGCGATGAAGAAGATTCTTAAAAAGGAATTTTGAGATGCAAAAAACCAATAGACCTTAAAAACCAGCATCATCAATAGATCACACAGAACCCAATAACCAACCTATTATAGGAGAAAGCATTATCAGGAATATGTTTTCAATCTATCCTCTATGATGCCTAGACATGGGCCTATTATTAACTAAAAATAGTTAATTAATGAATATATTGTGATCAACTATGTTGCTCTAACTCGGGTACAAAGTGTTGTTGAGAGATATGGATTGATGTGTCCAACAAATTTTAAATCTGATACAAGATACAAGGACATGGCTCAAAAGAATTCAAAATTAAAATTTGTGGGATGAGAGTAGGGAGACAAGTCTAAACTACAGTACATACTACTTATATCTACAACCTAAATAATTATATAAAACTAAATGTTTTAATTTATATGCTAATTATGAAAAGATACTATAAATAAAACTTAACTATGTTTAAAATAAATCTTAACGATTTCGGTTGAGAAGCCCAACTGCTTCCTGCCCAAAACACGTGAAATAGAGATCTTTAGTTGTGTTCACGCCCGACACAAGAATGAAATCACCATTTTAGACGAAATCAGTGCGTGCATGAAAGACCTTAACCATAGCGAAAGCAACTCTGCTTCTTTGAGGTTTCTTATCATGGTCCCCCTCCTGTGGCGTCCAGGATAACCTTCACTGGCCATGACCACCATCATGCTCTCCCGCCAAAGCAAAGTCTAGGGAACGTTAATATATCCAACCTTAGGTCTAACGAAAAACTCATTCTCAAGAAACATAAAAAATCCTTTCCCCACAAATAAAAATCAAATCCTTACAAGTTACAACACTACCCCATTTATCTCCTTGGCAAGTTCGGAGGTAAGCCTTATGTTTTCTTCACATGTGAAGACCAAGCCAAATTATTACCCACAAAAGACTAGTGGTCAAAACTTCAGCTAGTTAACCTGCAGTGTTGTGGTCAACCACAAATAGGGATGATTCACTGTACCATAGAAATCAAGCAAAACTTTTACCAGTGTAGTCTTAAATTCTTCCTTTCGATCTTTGTATTCCTAATTTACCCATTTATTAAACCTTTTCTTCTTGCAATTTGGTTTTTCATTGTAAGACAGGGACCACTGATATACAGAAAACTGCTGCAGTGCTGATAAGACTTGCATTAATATGCTGCTATCATCATAAAGACTCACTCCAGTTGTGTCTTTTACATGCACTCGCAAGAATTAGTAGTAACATGAGCATCCATACCAGTTAAAACTAAAACCTTATAATCATTTCTTAAATACTACAGCTTTTACCCACAAGAAAAAAACATGATGAAAATCTAAAACCAATATAATAGATACCCCAATGAAAGATATATTAGCAGAATTGGCTATTCTAAAAGAAATTAGCCAGCCAATTGAACTTAATTAGTATTATGATTTATTATATCAAATCTCACTCAAGAATCTGCTACATTATGTCATGATTGAAATGAAAATCCTCAAACAACACAACTGAAATATAAAGAAAAATCAAGTTTATCATATAAACATACTTCCTCTTGCATTAAAATGTGACAACCTAGTATCTTCCGGGGATACTGAACAATAAAAACTCAATCTAAGTAAAAGTGATGAGAACAAAATAAAGATGAATACCCTTCTCGTTGACAAAAATGTGCCCATCAAAAAACTCAGCAAACTCAACCACATCGTCTGATCTCTCAAAGTTAAGGTATGCACGTGAATGTCTCTGGTTTTTTCGGCTGCCAGATTGAATGAATATAAGAGAAAGAAAAAAACCATAATAGACATGCTAAATATAAATTTTAAACGAGAGAAAAATGAACATACAAACCAATTACAGACAGCCTGTTAGCCTATAGATGCAAAGTACTAAGTATACTGAATCTACAGCAGTTGTAGATAATAGAGGCAATGGTAACTGAAATAGTAAATTTTATTATATTCAGGGAACTAAAACAATGATGCTAACACAGAGAGCTCAAGACACCAATTTTACAAGCCAAAATGACATCTAGCAGAGTTTGGAAAGTTATCACTAGGGAATGTCTCCACAAAAATATAACATGGTGATCTTAAGAGAAATGCCGCTAGCCAATATAAACACTTCTTATTTCAGGTAAACTCTCCAGATAAATGCCATGAGAGAAACCAATTATAAATTTAAAGAAATAAACAAAGTGGCTGTCTCTTATGAGTTAACAAATCAAAAACATCTAACAAGCTATCTTTCCTATGAATTCATATTTCTTTCCTGTTGGGAAATGAAAGGAATATGTAAAAGAAGTCTTAAGTGCATATACATTTCACGGATAATTTGACTTGATAAATTATCCGATATGCATCATATGAATGAAATCAAAAGTTATAAAAACCTAAACAATTCTTCCAAAGCATATTTGCTTTGTCAAATCTCACCTGGCTTTTATGTAAACCACAAAAAATGTTTACTGACGATATAGGAACTCACAGATCAGCTAACTTTGAGAAACAAGCAACCGAATATATCACCGGAACAGAACCAAGTTCAACAGAGTAAACAAACTTTGTGTCATAAGTACTCAAAAGTCAAAACTACGTTTTAACAGCTAAAAAAAAAAACCGAATTTAAAATATTAGACATTCTTAAGAATAATGTCCGCAGACACAAGGATTGAAACCCCATGTTTAGCCGGCTTCCAGCGACCTATATCTCGGAACAAAAATACTCAAAAAAAGCCTAGAAAATTAGGGCTTCGAGGAAGCCCCTCCAAATGACAACAAAGCAAATCCCGTGCCCCGAGCATGCTGACCAAGATATCCACGTTTAGTTACATCGATCAACGACATCAACATCCTACCTAAAATCCAAACATCAAACTATCAAATTCCATAACGATTGTCGCCGCCGAACCAACAAAAGACGATAGGAGATGTGGAGAACGGGTAATAAAACCCCTTTACCTATTCTTTCCGGGACGAAAGAACACCCAATCGTATCGTCCAGCAAACCTGCCATCGATCTGCTCCATCAGTACCGACTGCGAGATCGACGGCGGCAAGCGCCGCACCACAACCTTCGTCCGATCGGAGGAATCCTTCATGTGCTCGACACTAGAAACCGCCACCCCCGACAATTCCACGAGAACAATATCCCCGCAAGCGCCGAAATCGCAGTCGGCACTACGAGAATCCTCCACGGACTCGCATCTCCAGCCTGGATGTCGCCGAGTCCTTGAATTATAAGTAGGGCTTTTGCCCCCAAAGTAGGGTTTCGATCTGAGAACCAGAGCGGAAGGGTCTCCAATCAGATGTGAAGAGGTCGCGAGTGAGAGAATATTTGCATGAATTGAAGCCGAAGGAAACAAAAAGCCAAATTTCAAGCGGAAGGGTTTATGAGGGGCGACGTGGGTCGCTTCAGTGGTTTGTTTGGAACAATTATATTTCATAATTTTATGCAATATTTAATATTTATTTCATATATATAATAAATTTGTATAATTAAAAAATATATGGTTCAGATATATTATAAATATAACTATATAACTATATAAATAAATATAAAGTAATATCTATAAATAAATAAAATTTTAGACATAAATCAAGTTAGTCAAGAAAAATTCAATTGAAGGGAAGAGATGATGGGATAGGATTTTTATTATACAGAAATAATCTTATGACCTTAGATAATATCATAGGATACTTTAAGAAATTTAAATTTTTTTATTAGCAATACTACACTAGGCTAGCTTCAACATTCAAGCATTTACAATATAGTATCTAGGTCAAATATTATTTTAAAAAAAATATAAAATATCAATTCATATTTAAAATATGTATTGAGCTCATATATTTCAAATGTAACTTTGCCTATTAATCATATTTACCTATTTATGTTCTCCTTCATTTAAATAGTTGTTAATTATAGTTCTCATTTCTATGAGCTTTTGCAATTAAAATGTTGATAGATGGCACAAATTTTTTTACAAGAGGACACAAAGTATATAGGTATAATAGATATAATGATTTAATAAAATTTTAGATGTGTATCAAGTTCAATTGCCACAAGCGGCTTCGGCTCGATCCAAATCGAGTCTTAGATCTTGATTTATTTGGCTTATTCATGAATCATGACAAAAATAATCAAACCTTCACGAATCTTAAATATATGTTAGAAATTGATTGATCCCATGGTATAAAAAAAGATTCTATCGGGGGCTAAGTATAATTTTAACATTTGTAATGATATAATATTAGAAGTTGGTCGAAGTTATTACTATCAATTTGTGCTTGTTATATAACCTTTTATGATCACCTTCATGATCAAATGTTGTCCTCAAACATAAATCATCATAGCTTAAAAGATTCTTGAAGGGCTTTTTTGAATTTAGTGAGGAAGGATGAAAGTTGTTTTGGAAAATCCTTGTTATTCCTAGTGTCATTGTGTTTGGTGGAAGCTCATTCCCTGCCTCTAAGAAGTTGACGAAGTATAATATATGTGTTACTCGTTCTTGATACCTTTGTGATTTTGGGTGATTGGGAGAGGATGAAGATCTCACCAAAGCCAATTTCTTACCTCTTAAGGTCTTGATAGTGTATTAGCTGTGGCTGATCTGGAATATCATAAACAAGACAGTCTTAAATGGAAAAAAAATACTCACCTAATTTGGTCATTTACAAGGCTATAGCATATTTATCACGCTGCAAACTTTATACACAATTTTGAGTTTTTCCTTACTAAGCACCCCACGTTTGAAAAAAAAATTTAGGGCCATGTGAAAACATTTTTTTGTTTTACTTAAAAATATTTCTATTGTAACACCGATCCTAGTTATGCCTTTGTTCGTGCCTGACCACTTGACTTACTCGCTCACTAGCCCTCGTAAGCGGCCAGGAGAGAGGAGGGGGGAAATTGTCGTTGCTTGTCGGCTCTCACTTGAAGGCATATGTGATGAGAGAAGGACAGGGTGGCAATCAGCATTCATAGTTTACATGTGAAGGCATAAACGATCAAGGGAGGGGGAGCAATCAACATTACTTATCAATCTATGCATAAGACGTAGGTGGTCAAAGGAGAAGACGAGGGTGGTTGGTGAGGGCTATAGTCAATCATGTGGGACGGGTGAAAGCTAATGTTTGAGACTACTAAGTACATGACGATAATGGGATGGAGGGGGACAACCAATAAGATAGAGGTATTGCTAAACGTAAATGGAGATACGATGAAAGTCGATAACTGATAGGAGTAAAATAATTAATTTTTTTAAAAAATATTATGTGATAATTTTTTAAACTCGGAACGGTCTCTAACAAAATCCAGGATTTTTTTTTTCTTTCAAAATTTCACCCCTTCAAATTTGAATATAAATATTTTTATACTTATACCAAAATCAAGTTCCGACCTTGCTATTCTGGCATCCGATCCGTTTCCTCTTTCATCCGCTACCGTCCGTCGCTGCATCAACTCCATCGATATTAATCCAACGGTGGCCTGGAAGATCCCTAAACCTAGAACAACCAAGTTTTCCCCAACCCCTCACCTCAGTTCGTAGTTCACTTCGATCGCATCGATTCCTCTCGCTCCCATCTTCCTCCCTCCTCCCGTCGTCGACGGCTGGGAAATATCTCTTCCGCGGCACCGTCGCCGCCATCCACGCCTTTGAGTCTCCCGTTGAAGTTGGAAGCCCATCCTTCCTGGTGAAGTGGCACCACCAGCACCACCGCTGCCGATCATCTGCCAGAGGATGCGCGGATGAGGACGAGTTCAAACTGCTCCTAGGGACGCTCTCTTCCTCCCACCATCACTGGAGAGCGGCGAGCCATTAGGTTTTCGGACACAGTGGCAGCCTTTGGCTCTTGCGATCATCGAGGTTCTTCCTATCTTCTTGGGTTTTTCAGATTTGTATATAGGGGTTATTTAGTGTAGTATTTTGTTATAGAATAAAACGAATGCAATGCGTCTTTGCCCGACAAAGATTACAAAAAAGAGTAGGATTCGGGAATGAAATTTTAAGTGCAAACATCTATAAGAATGCACTACTGTATATTTCTAGAAGTTCAAGATCAGCTTATTATCCTCGACTTGTATGCTTCTGATACGATAATAAATTTCAGTTCAAAGTCCAAAGAACTCGGGTTGATACTATGTAGCTAGCCAACCAAGTTTGATATTAGAATCTATTATAGACTACAATCAGGAAACATCTAACTGATAACCGGATCAGGTTGAGTTTCATGATTAGATGCATGGATAAATATTAGGTTAGACACGGATCATATTTTAGCCGACTGGATGGGATAATTGTATGGCAACTTTTATGTCTATGCATCAAGATGTTAACAGAAAAAGAACGGGGTAATACTGAAAGTTCTTGAAAGCTCTACCAGGGCATATTGGTTATGATGGTTCCATCCTTTTCTTGTTTCTACTGAAGGTACTGTTTACGAGAGTGAAGCAGTTTGCTGATCTGTAGCAAATGCTTAGTTATGTTATAAATGAAAAGTTCTCAACCATGTTTTTCAGGTCTTGGGTTGGTGAAATTTGTTATATTTGCTGCCTTAGCTTATGGCTGCAAAATTGTGGTCTTTTCTTTTGATATCTTCTTCTTTATTGTTAACTTTTGACTTCTGAAAAAAGATATGACTTTATCAGGATCCAGTACTGAATTCCTCAAGTTTTTCCCAGTTCAGAGGATCCTTTTACAAGTTTATGACACAATATTGTTATCATAATGAATCATCTACATCATTATAAAAAATTTGAAACAAGAAGTAAACTATTTGTTGTCAATTGTTTGTTTTAAGTATATCACACAAGATATGCTGCTGAATTGGAAAAATGATGAATCACTTGTTTTTGCTGGTGTTATCTATACTAGTTAAATAATTTTCAGGATCAGGTCCTTTAGGACAATATTTTAAGTTTAATATTATTCTTAGTGTTAATTAGAAAAAAAAGGCTGCAATGTGCAAGTGTTAGGGTACCACATAGCAGAACGTGCAGTAAGTAGACACATATGCATCTGCATATTAGTATATCTTAAATAAAATTAAGTATAAATGAAGAAATATACAATGGTCTAAATTACTAAGGGAAGGGAACAAATTTTTATGCACCACTCAACATGTAACCTCTAGTCTTTTCAATGCCTGAGTGGCATATCTTTCTAAATCTGATTCGATATCTATCAGGTGAAAAAATAGAAGCACGTACTTTTGTCTGAATTCCTTGATGATTTAATTTAAATGATCAAATCCAACGCAGGTAGTAGGTAGCATAGATAAGATTGCTATGATGGTTTGTATAGAATTCACTGTTCCATTATTAGTTCCTAAATATATGCCAAGTCCAAATAACAATTCATAAGTTGACACAATATTAATGGCATTTATTAGCTGTTCTTAAGTAACAATTTATTAAAAAAAAGTTGAGAAGGTGCAAGGGATGTATAATTATCATGGACCACACAATATTACCAAATTATTACTGGTAATTGAAATAATATCGGTAAGAATGAAATGTAAATCACATATGTGACCATGTTTTCATATCGCACGCAGCATGGACATGCTAAATTTTACATATACAATAATGTGACATGTTATGAATGCATCGCCTTATGCAAATATGTCTGCATATGCATATTCTGCATGACCCGTATACTAATTTAAATACTGCTCAGTATTGTTTCTGTTGTTCTATAGTATATTAACACAATATGCTTTAGGTTTATAAAGAATCTAAGCATCCTTAATTTGAAACTTCGTGACCTTCCTTTCTAATGCACATATAATAATTTTGCAAATTTATATCTGCAGGCATAGTACAAACCTTGAGTTGCATCCAAGTCTGGTAAAAGCTTTCAATATGGCAAATATAAGTATAACAAATATTCTGGAGAAGGTATGCAACTGTTCAAAATTTTATTCTGGTGCTTCTGCTGGATATTCTATTTGTGGGCTCATTTTGATAGTGGCTTTGATGGTCCATTTCTAGATGACGGGTAAGGATAAAGATTATAGATATATGGCAACATCAGATTTACTTAATGAATTGAACAAGGAAGGTTTTAAATCTGATTCTGATTTGGAGATGAAGTTGACAAGTGCTGTCCTCCAACAACTAGAAGACGCAGCTGGAGATGTATCTGGTTTAGCTGTGAAATGGTTTGCTTTCTAAATGCTATTTGATGCATTTACTTGTGTCTGATTCCTTGGATTGCGATGCAGCTTATAAGTATTGCATAAACGTCTTGTCTATAGTCTTGTTTAACTGGGTATGATCATAATATTTGCTTGTTATATGGCATTAGGAATTTATTTATTTTTTTAAATTAGACTATCATTATAGTATGCATTCGAAAGTTGAATTTGTTGAATTTATGGTTAAATAATATTTATGGTGATTCACCTCCTGGATACCTTACGAATAAAAACATTCTTTTAGGGTTGACGGAAATTCAGGAGTTCACTGCTACATAAAACATTGATGACAGTTACCATTTTCAAGGTGGTTAATTAAGTCATTTTGCATGATTCTGCATAATTTAACACATCTGATTTTTTATTAATTTTTAATAGGTAGCAAGTCCTAATAGGAAGTGGTGTGGTCTGATTTGTTCAATGATTAATACATGGTGAAGTTGAGTTGCTCATTTTGTGGCCATCCATAGGCCATTCTTTCGTAGTTGTTTCTTCTGCGATTTCACAAATTTTTTTGTTAGTCAAAGATCAGACTGAACATTTCTATCATTTTCGCTTAAAATGGATGGTGTTAAACACATTTGGTTTATTTTAGTGTTCGACTACAGCTTGAGATGCACATTCTTTAGGAAAAGGCATATAAAGGATGAAAATATTGATGTCTAAATGATAACTCGCTGGGTGGGACATTGGGAGTGACTTTGCAAGATACGGATTGATGTTAGACGAATAGTGTATCTGCTATGGTGACCAAAACTGAAGATGAATATGTCATCTTTTTATTATGCATATTGATATTCATAATGGAGTCTGGAAGCTGAATGTGCACCAGAGATTGGAGAAGGCATATCGTGCTTTGGAGTTGTTCTCGTGTTATTATGCTTATCATGAACTATCCGTTGAATATTCTTTTTTAGATCATATCTCATCTACGAAGAGTTTTTATTTTATGCAAGGTTTTTAAACATTTTTTGCATTAGTTCCTCCCATGTGAGATAGAGCCACTTTTCTATTTGATTGGAGACCATTCTTGATTTGCTCAAGATGTCTCCTCAAGAGAGCTGCCTTACAATTTCAAGTGGTTTCTGTATGTACTCCACCATATCTATTCTTTTCACTTTAAACATCACACTGTTATGTAATTGGTTTTTTCACAAATGAAGAGATCAGTTATCGCGTGTTGTACTCGATAAGCGATCAGTAATTCTTTGTCTTCAAACATATGTTTCTATTCTCCACATGTACTAGCTTAAAGATTCATGTTATATTGTTAAATTATATAACATGACTGGAAGACTGGAAGCGACAATATGGATTAGATGATTGACTTTTGGCAAAAAGTGAATTAAAATTATCTTAAAAATTACATAGAATATTTTAGAAATAAAAAGTGATGTTTAAAATTTTAAAAGGAACTGTAGCAACTAATTAAGATTTTTAGCTACAATTGATACTTTTGCTACTTCTTAGAAGTGTAAATATGTAGCTGTTCCATGATTATCTTTCTTTGGATGAATCGAGTAGTCTTTGTTTGATCTTGTCTAAATAGAAATATTTCTGACTGCAATAACCGAACAGTTGTTCTTCAGTTAGTTCTTGGTTGGACTTCGGTAATTTTTTCATGTGCCTGCAAGTCTGCAACCATCATGTTCCCAAAAGCAATATGTAAATCCTGTTTATCCAGTTTATTTTGTTGTATGGTAATTTATACTTCTTGATCTTGATGTACAAATCATGTTTGGTTTAGGTGCACCTCATTAATTGAGCTTTCTTCCTTGCTGGTTTTTTTTTTTTTCTGTATATAGTCTGGCTCCTCTTGTCAAGAAGATCAGTGAGGACAGGATTCTGGAAATGGCCAACAAGCTCTGCGACAAATTGTTAAATGGGAAAGATCAACATCGTGATATTGCTAGTATAGCCTTGAAGACAATAGTCTCAGAAGTTAACACAACGTCCCTTGCCCAACGTATTCTAGCTTCTCTTGGTCCTCAGTTGATAGAGGGCATAACTAATCCTGTGAGTTTCTTATAATTTCTTTCTGTTTAGCTATTGTCTGTGGACATCTTGTGGCACTTTATCTTGACCATATGAAATTTTTAGTTGAAGCTTTTTGTTTAATTTTTTAACGACTCTTGTTTCAACATGCACCTTTTTTAGTTTTTGTTATCCTATTTAGCTGCATGTTATATTTGCTTTCCGTATAATTGGATACATGGAAAACATTGTAGTTCTACAAATGTTTCCTTAGGGATGCAGGAAAATGAACATTGTACTTTTTTGTATGAGTTGTTTTCCTATCCAACATATTTGTGAAGGGAAGATTGGATGCGCTGTGAATTATGGAAGTGAATCTAGGTTTTGTAGATGTTTGTGTTGAGATTCTTAATCAGAAATCATAGAGAACATGTTGCTTTCCTTCTTCCATCCACTTCCTTGCGCTTTGGTATTATAGAGAGAATGTTGAGGCAGTGTATGTCTTTCTTTCTTCTTCTCACGTTTTTATGACCTTTTTGTGTTACATATGTTTTTGTTGCAAACTATGAAATATGTTATCTCAAATAATGTAACAACCTTTTTTGCTTGGACTACTCTTATCTACCAAATTCACAGATTTATGCGTTGGGAACTTTTTTTTATGTTTAGGTGTTGACATGGTGCTGAATTCGTTTGATAAGTGAATAGAAGAAGAATAATTTATCGTGACTAGGATTCTTTCTGTAATTGCAATTCATATTCTGTACCTGATAATGTAATCTCATCATCTTGTTGTTACAATCAGTTAGTTCTTTGTGTATTATGCACAGGCTCTACTCTTGCCTTTCCTGATTGGTTTCTGTCTTTAATTTTTTTTCTTAAGCGTCTTACGTCTAGAACTTACATCTGTTTGATGACTATCTACATTCCTTGTGTTCTTTGTTACTTTCATTGTACAGCTTGCACTTTTAGATGTTTTGCTCTTTTTGACACTTGGACTTCTTGAATGCAAGATCTAGACCTTTTATAGTTATGGAATTATTTATTTTGATTCAGTCTTTTGTTACTTGCGATGCATTATCCTGATTATTTCATTGATACGTCGAAGTACTAGATTTTGCAATCTTCTGTGCTGCCAAGACTTGTTGTTTGAGTTTAAAGAAAAAATTCTATGCATATTGATGATACAAAAATATTTTTTTATTTCTGCCAGGGGAAGAGCACTGAGATTAAGTGTGAATGTCTTGATATATTAGGCGACATGCTCCAGAGATTTGGAAACTTGATGACAAAAGATGCTCATGAGGAATTGCTGAGTGCACTTCTGTCCCAGTTGGGTTCTAATCAAGCCAGTGTTAGAAAGAAATCAATTCTTTGTATTGGTGAGAAACTAGTTATTTCCAAGGGGTTTTTGCTTATGTATTCTTTTGAAGCTCCAAATTTCTCTCTTTTCATATATTTGCACATGTACACTGTTGTATATATCTCTCTAGAAGGAACAATTTGTGTGTATATACATGTGTGTGTGTGTATACATGCCATGTGCATGTGTACCAGTGTTATGAAACTTCATAGGCGTTTATCAATCCAAATAGCATATTATCCATTTCCATGTTATAATTTTGTAATGAAATAAATATTCTCTTGATTAAAATTATTTAATAAAGTATCTTCTTGCTTGTAGCTTCTCTTGCCTCAAGTTTGTCAGATGATCTCTTGGCTAAGGCGACATTTGAAGTTGTTCAGTTGTTGAAAAGTAAGAATATAAAACCTGAACTTACACGAACAAATATTCAGATGATTGGAGCTTTAAGGTAACTTCTACTTGAGATCTTATTCATTGCTTCCTTATATTGTGTTCTCATGGTGTTGACATGCTTTACTTATTCTGTATCTATGTGATCACTATTTATTTTGCCTGCAAAATAGGCTGGTGTTCAAATTGAGTTTATGTACATTGCATTTTCATCAAATTGGATCACTTGTGTTATGTTGAATTCATCTGGTCATTTCTCTGAATTCGGAATGGACACAGAGATGTTTTGCCTATAAGATATGTGAATAAAAATATGACGGATCAATATTTTAATAGTCCTGCTTGTTTTTGGCATTTAATCCCATTTCACAAAATAAAGTGCAACTAGTGAAAATTGTATTCAAATTATTAAACCTGGACTTGTGCTGACCATCTGATGGCATGTATCATTGTTTTTTGAGTCAGATATTCTTCTGACTGTAAGCTTAGACAGCAATTCATGGCTGAGTCTCCAGCAGTTAATGTTGTATGCTTAAAGAAGAATATCACTGGTTGTTACCTTTGGACAGAGGAAGAAAAAGGCCGTCCAGTCCCCAGCTATTAGGAAGTTGGTTGCCCAATATCACTTGGAATCAAAGTGATGTAGATACTGAGTTGTAAGCAGGATCATTCAGTATTGTCCCATTGTTTCCTTGTGACAAACAACAGTTAGAACGTCTCAGCTTCTCCTATTTCCCATTCGAGTTTTGCATACATCCTTTCATGCCAAGAGTGGTTCTCACAACAATGAACTGGTGGGGTTTTCAGAAATTTTTTTTTTTCAGCTTGTCAATGCTCAAATTCATTTGCATAGTCCGTGATGTAAAACCTTTTTCCTTATGAGTTCAGCGTACACATAGTTCATCTTTAGTTGTAAATCTATTATTCAATGCAACCCCTGAACAGTCACTAACCTTGATCACCGGCTCTTTTGATATAGATTATAACTTCGATAAGAAAGCAGGAGGTGAGGGTCTCTGATAAGTGACAACTTAATTGTTATTTAATATTTCAATATTTTGGAAAGTAGTGTTTGAGTATAGGGATGAAATTTTGGGTTTGGAGGACATGCTTTTGCTAACGCTAGTTTATTTCATCGTTAGAAATTGCTCTGCATATTAAAGCTTGAGGACGGAAATATGCTTGAGAGAAATTAAGAGTCTAAAGCTGGTCTATGGGACACCAAAGGGTAGCTACATCACTCGCCCATTACATTGGCCTTAACCTGACGCCTCTCCTTTTACAGCTTTTGCACCTTCATTAGCTTTTTCCCCGAAGGTATACGGCACTAGGCCCTGTTATAGTGGTATGTTAGTCATCAGTTTATCAATTGACAGTGACCAATACAAGTCAGGAAAAATGACATAATAGTAAAAATTTTCTACGAACTTGTGATTTTTCTTCAAATCCAATAATCTGAGCCTTGTAATGGTCAGCTTTGAATGATTTTAGCCAGTGATCTGGTGTTGGAGAGGAGAATAGTTAGTAATCAATTTGAAATAGCAAGACATGGCTTCTGATATTTTATCTCATTTTCCAACCATCTTTAGAATATGATTTAGTTTCAATCAGTTACCATTGGCTTCATCTGTTTTTCGACAAAAACTGGTTTTGATCAATCAGTATACTGGGTCTGGCTTACAAACCACCTGTATCCAGACAATCATCCTGGTCCCTGTTTCCTTCTGATGATACATGCCACATATAATGGCAGTATGTCTCATTTTCCAACCATCTTCAGAATATGATTTAGTTTCAATCAGTTACCATTGGCTTCGTCTGTTTTTCAACAAAAACTGGTTTTGATCAATCAGTATACTGGGTCTGGCTTACAAACCACCTGTATCCAGACAATCATCCTGGTCCCTGTTTCCTTCTGATGATACGTGCCACATGTAATGGCAATATACTGTAAAAAGTTAATCCATTCTCATAGGTGTCTCTTTGAATGTGATTTTAAACCATCCTGTAGAAGTGGTGGAATAGTGTTTGAAGGCATGATGGAGGAGATTTACCAGTTCAAAGAGCATTAATAAAGCAACATTGTTCTCTGTATATATGTATTTCTGATATTCTGTTGAGCGATTTGTGTGCAGACTGCTATGTTGAGTTATTCATATATGGTTATACCAACTCTTATTATGTATATATTTACCAATATGAAACTTTAAGCAAATCATATATATGTCTGCTATCCAAAATATCTTATTTGAAGGATGTCTGTTGTTGTTCTTTTAGTCGCTCTGTTGGATATCGTTTTGGACCACACCTTGGTGATTCGGTGCCGTTGCTTATTAATTACTGCATGACGGCCTCGGAATCTGATGAAGAACTCCGTGAATACAGTTTGCAGGTACACTCAAGCAATGATCTTTTTTCACTGCATTGCAATTTCTATAGCTTACATTTTTTTTGAAAATAAAGAAGTTAGAAACTTGCATCAATGTACTTTTTCCAACTTCTTGCAGGCATTGGAGAGTTTTCTACTTAGGTGTCCGAGGGACATATCTCCATACTGTGATGACATTCTAATTCTAACTATGGAATATTTAAGCTATGACCCCAACTTTACTGATAACATGGAGGAGGACACTGATGCTGAAGGGGATGATGAGGAGGAAGATGAGTATGTTGCTCAAACGTTTAAAATGTACTATTGAGCTTTATAAGTATTTTCTATTTCTAATATAGTCTTATTACAAATTCTGACAGTGAAAGTGCAAATGAGTACACCGACGATGAGGATGCCAGCTGGAAAGTTCGAAGAGCAGCTGCAAAGTGCTTACAGGCTATTATCATGTCACGACCGGAGATGCTTATAAAGTTGTATTATGAGGCATGTGAAGTACTATACTTATTTTTGCTTTATTTGCATGATGATGTGGTTGGTGCTATATCCTGATAATTGGCCATTTTCTTAACAAGATGGACTAAGTCCTCTATAGCTGCAACGTCGATATATGGCTGTTTGTTGTAGTTGATATCTAATTCTGTTTGACATACATGATCACCTTTATGAATCTTAAATTAGTTTGTTATACCAATTTCATACTGAGCATAAATTGTCCAGTTGTTCCTTATCTTTTTACTCATGGTCTATGTGGGGTCTGTTGCTGTTTGCAGGCATGTCCTAAGTTGATTGAAAGATTTAAAGAAAGAGAAGAGAATGTCAAGGTACTCATAGATCTATCAAAATATTAGTGTTGAACTAAGATATACTGACTTGTATATCTTAATTGTACAAAATGCCTTTTCTTGAATCTTTTCAGATGGATGTATTTAACACATTTATCGAGTTGTTACGGCAGACTGGTAATGTGACAAAGGGACAAGTTGACATTGACGAGTCAAGGCAAGTAGTTATTCCATTGTAATCTCAAGTTAAACTGTAAATGCATCTTTTGAGTGCTGTTTATGTATTTGAACCTTGTTATGGGCAAACAAAACCATGCAAACATCACATAAATAATGCAGAATTTTAGATATCCAAAAGAAATTAGGGTCAAACTGATATCATCTGTTACTTAATGGTTCTCATTTTTCTAAACTTAGATTCTGCAAATTGGGATGGTTCTCAGCCTTCGAGCTTCATGGAACTTAAGTTCTAGATCAAATGCCAATGTCAATTTGCCAAATTGCTCATATGTCTTCCGAGGGGATTTTGACATGCTGGTTTAGTCAATAAAGCATTAAAATCAAATCGGTGGGGTATATCAGATGCACCTTTCTGTTGAATAGTCTGTCAACACTCCCAACTTCTGAGGGGTTGTCATCCACTTACTAATTACCAATCATAGAACTATGATCATCATGGTTGTCCAATTTAATTTTCCAACATCCAGTTGCTGATTTCTTACTAGAACTGTGGTAAACTTTCATAAGTATAGTGGCATACTCACATGTTCTGTGGACCTGATAACCATAATGAAATCTTGAATCAAGTCAGCCATGATTCACAGTTTCTGTTTGATGGCCACCATATCAGCTCCAGTGGTGCCAATTTCTGCTTGGTCAAATAAGTTTACTGTGAATCTTATTTAATTTAATAATACCGATTGCTTCATTAGACTGCTAGATGAAAATTGCCACTGCTCAATTTTTTGTGTTACATGAGTGCAATGGTGATTGTGTGGAGGAATCTGATATCAATTTTTTTGATAGATACTTCTCTTTATGTTCTTTCTTCTCTTGGTTTTGTAGCCTATACTTTTCTTAATATTTTTCATATTTTTTTCCTTCTTCCACTCCTCGCTCTTTCATTTTTTAATCCAATCTCTTCTTCCTCTCTGCTGTGTGATGATCTCCAAGCATGTTGATATTATCTCGTCATCTTATTATCTTGCCATCTTCAAATATTGCTTTGACTGTATCTCGGGATGACAGTCATTGTTTCTGAAGCAAAAGACTAACTTTTTTCCTTGGACAAACCTTTTACGACATCTTGGTATGATGCATTTTCTGCTGGTTTTTGATGTTCAATTCCTTAACTAAAGTTAATATGAATGACATTATCTTGCTTTATTTGATTCTGGTTAAATGCAGTCCACGATGGTTATTGAACCAAGAAGTGCCCAAAATCGTGAAATCAGTTAACAGACAACTCCGTGAAAAATCTGTCAAGACTAAGGTAGGATTTCTTCCAACATCTTTTCTTGGCTCAGTTATTTTCTGGTGTTTGTAAGTTCCTCCACTATATATGTTCAGGTTGGGGCATTCTCGGTATTAAAAGAACTTGTGGTTGTCTTACCTAATTGTCTTGCTGAGCACATTGGCTCACTTGTTTCTGGGATTGAAAAGGCATTGACTGTAAGTTATTTCTTGGTGTTATAGTACAACTCTGTCCTTTTCTAACAATCGTATATAGTGACTATATATTTGCTCCTCTTCCCAGGACAAATCTTCCACCTCGAATTTGAAGATCGAGGCCCTTGTTTTTACCAGATTGGTTATGGCTTCACATTCACCTTCTGTATTTCATCCATACATCAAGGTAAAATAAAATCCTTCTTCCTTCTTGTGGACCCACATATGATATTTAAATTTTAACATTGCAAGAGACTTCAATTGGGCAAATTCTGTTTAGCTGTAGTATGAATAGTCATGTTTTATCACCAAATTTGTTGAGGGAGTGATCACCTTCAAGTTTTTGCTTTCTACATCTGATTTTTGTAGTTTTTTATGCATATAGATCATGAATCCTTCATGTCTAGGTTATGATAAACTCAATTTCTCATTTTGCACACTATTCCCTAACATTCCAAATTACATTGCACATTTGTTGTTGGTTTATCATGACTTTGCTTTTTATCAATCCTAGTTTACTTTATTAATGTAACTCCTTTTTGGTTTTTGGCATTGTTTCGAGTTTCAAAGAGTTTTTTTTTTGTTTTCTGTTGTACTGTACCAATGTATCTACTTGGGGGTGAGCTGTGCTAATGTTGATTTCTAATGATGTTCTGACATTCCTGATGTTGATTTCTGCTGGCTGGCATGGAATGTGCTATAGACTTTTGACTTTCATATCATGTCAAGACATTACAAACATATGGTGTGCTGGCAGTGCTTCGGACGCACACTTTGTCAACACCCAGACAATACTGATATTTTTAACAAGTAATTAGATGATAATGTCATAAATTTTAGTCTTAACTAATGTCATGCATCATAACTGAGCTCCATGCATTTTTTTTAACTCTTCAGGGTGCAGGTAAATAATGTGTATTGGTATGGTTCTAGTTGCAAAGCTTCACAGATAAATCAATATATCCATCATATCTGGCTAAAGCGGCCTTAGAATAATTTCTACTGTGCACACTAATTTGTTTTTTAATTTGGTCATTTTTTACTGCCAACATACTTCAGGCCCTCTCTAGTCCAGTTCTATCTGCTGTTGGTGAAAGATACTATAAAGTAACTGCTGAAGCATTACGTGTCTGTGGAGAGCTAGTCCGTGTTCTTCGTCCTAATTTTGAGGTAATTACATTTAAGCTATATTTTACTCTCTATCACTTGTATGATCAGCGGTAACTTGAGTTTCTTTGTGGTGTAGACATCCACTTTGGACTTCAAGCCATACATCAACCCTATTTATAATGCCATATTGGCACGTTTGGCAAATCAAGATCAAGATCAGGTTGGTTTGAAGTTTCTCTTTGGTTCTTCACTTTGAACATCTTGCTTCATATATCTAAATAATGGTTTCATCCCAGGAGGTTAAAGAATGTGCTATTTCTTGCATGAGCCTTGTAATATCAACTTTTGGTGATAATCTACAAAGAGATCTACCTGCGTGCCTTCCCATACTCGTTGATAGAATGGGAAATGAGATTACCCGACTCACAGCCGTGAAGGTTATCCTTTCAAGACTTTATATTAAGATGCAATTTGGTTTTGAAATTTTTACTTTTATGTGAATGCTAATTTATTCACCTTCTCTTTTTGAGTAAATATGTCAAAATTATAAATGAATTTAATTGCTGTAATACTCTGGATACTAGAGGAATAAATAGATCATGATAAAATGCGGGTGTCTTGCTTTTACATGCTATAATATCTTTCTATATATGTAGAACTTAATAGTGTTATAATGTTACTTCTTAAACAAAATTGTAATTCATTAAACAGCTTATTATGGTTTTTTTATCAATTAAATTTCAAATAGCAGTGTTTTATCAATTAAATTTCAAATACTACAAATACGTGGACATGATACTCTAGGACTGCCATATAAAGGGTCATACAACATATATATTTTAAATTTCTATTATTTTGGTTTTCTATTTAATTGCATGTTTTCATAAAATTGATGTAATAAAACTTTTACGCCTTGTTTTAACCTAGGGTCTAAAATTACAACTAAGCAATATAAAGGAGAATTGACAAATTTTTTATTTAAGAATGTTCTTCATTTTTTTTTAAAACTATATAAGCAAAATCATACTTGTGTCTATCTTTTTGAAAAATTTGAGAAAGTACATCCGGAGTACTATCATGTGGCTTCTGCAGTTTTCTGGTGGACATGAATTCTGGTAAGATGCATTGCATGTATGCCTTGTCTCCAACAAGAACATCTATTCATGTGGCGATAGACACATCTGCTGATGTTTGCAATGGCATCCACATATGTACTTCTATAAACTCATGATTTATGTCCAAGCAGCATTTATTTACTTGGAAAAGAATTCCTAGAAATTTCATTTGGAAATTGAATAATTCTCTTCAACTTATATGTCTCAAGCTAACAACAAGCAACTCATACTGCAAGCTCTGCTGATTGTTAATATATCTTGTACAATGAGTAAAGAAATTGCTAGTCATATCATTGTAGACATTTGGTTTCTGTAACATGTAATAACATATGGTTAAATCCATTTCCAAAATGTCTAGACTTATCAACTTACAGGTCATAAAATTATTGTTCAATATCAGTGGAAACTTGAAACTTACTCCCTTGATTAATTGGATAAGTTATGTATTCTGCTCAAGGTTGGCGTGGCCTTTGCAAGTGATGAATATCAGTTTATTATTATTATTATTATTATTTTTTTTTTCCTTCTAGGTGTTGATATTACATGGCTCCCTTGTGATCCTGTCATGGTCAGCAGTGTTTGCTATTGCATTTTTTTTTTTCTGCTATGCTACTAACAGTATCTCATGGATGCAGGCATTTGCTGTAATTGCTAACTCACCTCTTCGCATAGATTTGTCATGTGTCTTGGAACAAGTTGTTTCAGAATTAACAGCATTTTTGCGGAAGGTATAACATAAACAGTTCATGTCATTAAAAGATTGGTGAATTTGACATGATGATGTATCCTAAGATTGGTATGCTTATTTTACAGGCTAACAGAGCTTTGAGGCAGGCAACCTTAGGAACACTAAACTCCCTTGTTGTTGCTTATGGCGAGCAAATCACCTCATCAGCTTATGAAGTTATAATAGTTGAACTTTCAACCCTTATAAGGTTCTTTTGGTTATGCTATATTATCCTTGAGCTACTTCATTTTCTTCAATCCAGCTTCTGAGTTATGAATGTGTTGTTTTGGCAGTGAAGCAGACCTGCATATGACTGCTCTTGCTCTGGAACTTTGCTGCACAATGATGACTGACAGAATATCCAGCCAAAGTGTTGGTTTGACTGTTAGGCATAAAGTTCTTCCTCAAGCACTCATATTAATCAGGAGCTCTCTGTTGCAGGGTCAAGCTCTGCAAGTATCTCATCGAAACTTTGGTTGCTCAAATGTGGAAATTTCTAGTATTTTTTTGTGTACTAAGATGGTGTTTTGGAAATGCTGCAGGCATTACAAAGATTCTTTGCATCATTGGTTCATTCAGCAAATACAAGCTTTGACGCACTATTGGATTCACTCCTTTCAAGTGCTAAGCCTTCACCACAGTCTGGGGGCCTCGCTAAACAAGCTCTTTATTCAATTGCACAGTGTGTTGCTGTACTTTGCCTTGCAGCAGGTGATCAGAAATGTGCATCCACTGTAGAAATGCTAAAAGGCATTCTGAAAGATGATAGCAGTATGAATTCTGTAAGTTCTTTGTGGGTATTTTTTCGTTCTTTATTGATTGTTTTTTGTAATTTTTGCATCGTTGAGTGATAAAATTTGGGCATGCAAAAAGAAATTTAGTTGCTGGTCTAGTTGATTCTTTCAAAAATTTTCTTGTCTTCAACCTTCATTCTTAGCAAACCGGAACGCTCTGCTAGTTGATATTGACTGCAATGTTTCGGCAATTTTTGTTGCTTACCAAGCTATTAATTGATAAACGGTTGAAGTTAAATGATTTGTATATGCTTCTGCAAGGATTGCTGTTATGTGGCACAAGAACGATGCCTTTCTAGCATGATATGAATCTGTGGTCTGATTAGCATCCCCTTGTTTTAGTCAGCACAAGCAAGATTTGGTCTAGCTATATGTTGACACGTTCATTATGTGTTTGCACGACAGGCACAATAACTTTTTGGCATGGCATGTTTTAGTCCATACCTCCTTGTGCTGATTGATGGCATTCCTTGTGCTTTTGAAACATGACAATGAATGATATTCTTGATAATGATCTTATGTTTAATGCTTAATGATCTGGCTATATATATAATGTAAAACCTGGTTGCAGGAAGTTTAAACAATGGACATTTGATAGCCATTTGCAATGATATAGAAATTGCTAGCTATTTATATAAACTACTACACTAGTATATTCAAAATTTTTAGCTCATTTGTCGCCAATGCCCTGCAGCCTTTAAGTTAGGGTCGAACAACAGCAGACTCAATTATCTTGTTGAAAAGATTCTAATATCTGTGCTGTTTAACAGGCTAAACAACACCTGGCTTTACTATGTCTTGGAGAAATTGGAAGAAGGAAAGATCTTAGCATGCACGTGCACATAGAGAATATCGTTATTGAGTCGTTCCAGTCTCCTTTTGAAGAGATAAAATCTGCAGCATCTTATGCTCTTGGAAACATAGCTGTGGGCAATCTATCTAAATATCTGCCATTCATCTTGGACCAAATTGACAATCAACAGAAAAAGCAATACCTTTTGCTTCATTCTTTAAAAGAGGTTTCTTTTTTGTTAAAATCATTAATTTCCTTAAGATACATGGTTGTGCTACATTGTGCACTCCATTAACTTCTTGACTTCCTATGTAGGTTATTGCAAGGCACTCTATTGATCAAACTGGCCAAAGTGAGTTTCAGGAATCTAATGTTGAGAAGATATTGAACTTACTGTTTAATCATTGTGAAAGTGATGAAGAAGGGGTTCGCAATGTAGTTGCTGAGTGTTTGGGCAAAATTGCACTTATTGAGCCTAAGAAGCTTGTGCCTGCACTGAAGGTATGTCTTATGACCTAATTTGGAGTAATGAAAATACTAATGTGATCTTGCAGAACAAATAATGTTGGCATTTTGTAGGAGCGCACGGCAAGTCCTACTGCATTTACAAGAGCAACAGTTGTTGTTGCTGTCAAGTACTCAATTGTTGAACGGCCTGAAAAGATAGATGAAATCCTGTACCCGGAGTTTTCTACATTCTTGATGCTAATTAAAGACAGTGACAGAGTAATTTAGTTTAATGGTTGTCAGTTATGTGAATGGACTTTCTAGTTATTTTGATTAATCATGGCTTGTTTTATTCTCCTTCATGTGCTACAGCATGTTCGACGTGCAGCTGTCCTGGCTCTAAGTACAGCTGCTCATAACAAGCCAAATTTGATTAAAGGACTTCTTCCTGAATTATTACCACTGCTCTATGACCAGACTGTTATCAAGGTACGCTAATTCTGCTGTGATTGATTATAGTGATGATTGGACCTGTGATTGCCGGATACACTATTGTCTGTATGAATGACTTGTATGCAGTAATATTCGCCAAATAATTACTACATGTTAAAATTGCTAAAACATGTATGGAATGATATTTTGTAAGATGACTTATTTTTTGTCCCAACTTTACTGCATGTTCAACAGGTTATTTGCGTAACACCAGCACTTCTGAAAGTTGTCTTAATGGGGGCAAAAATTGTACTCTTGATTAAGAAATCCGGTGACTACTAGGTGGATAGAAGCTTCATTTTATTGGTTGGGAATTAAGCACTCTGGTGGAAAAACTGTGAAATTCCCCTCTAGTCCTAAATAGTCACAGAAGAATGTGAAGATCATCTGAAAGTCAATAAATTATCAAGCATATCCATATTCAAAGTTTTCTGAAATCACACTCAATTTACTCCTTAAATTGTTAGAAATCATTTTCACTGTTTTGCTGTATGTTCTTCTGCTATTGTTTCTCCACCTTTACATGATTTATCTGTTGGCAACTTTCCCTACTCAGTTTTCTGAATGTTGTGGAATGATGTGCATTACTTGTAGCCAAATTTTTGTATAAACTTTGTCTACACTGGTTCTTTAACATCTTTGCTGAGCAAAATGTTTGTGTTAGGCCCATCTGAAATCATTTTGTTGTCAATGCTTTATTTATCACCTTACTAATGCATTTGTGTCTAATAAATGTGAAATAATTATTTTATAGTAGGAATATATTATTGGTTTCATTACTAATGGCATTTTTCTTAATTGCAGAAAGAATTGATAAGAACAGTTGATCTTGGTCCTTTCAAGCACGTCGTAGATGATGGTCTTGAACTTAGAAAAGCAGCTTTCGAGTGTGTGGACACATTGTTGGATGGTTGTCTGGATCAAATGAATCCGTCATCTTTTATAGTTCCTTACCTGATATCTGGTTTAGGTGGTGAGTATGGTTTGAAAATAATGCACAATAGATCATGCAAGACGTGATGAGACTGATGATCATGGTCATAAGTAATTTCTTTCTTAACTAATATCGCTGTTGTATTTGTCTTGCTGCACATGAATCCATTTTGATAGGATGCTTTAAGGAGGATAGTGATGGTCATGGTGATAGTTCTCTTTTCTTGAGAGTCTGCCTATGACAATATTGCCAATAAATGCTGCATCATTTAAATTATACTAACTAATTAGTTATTGCTTATAATAAAATTTGGTGCCAACATTTCGTGAAAATTCTTCTATGTGATAATATCTTCCAACCATTGAACTTTGATTCTAACATCTTATGATGATCATCATGAAAGATTGCTTGTATGCTATTATTCTAATCATTTAACTCTTTACGGTCTTCCCAGATCACTATGATGTGAAGATGCCATGTCATCTTATCCTCTCAAAACTTGCAGACAAGTGCCCTTCTGCTGTCCTTGCAGGTCTTTGCCTTCTGAAGGAGTAATTTTATTATCATCGGGTGATTAAAATAGTAACTTGCAATTCTTTTCCCTTATTCTCTTTTTATTAAATTCATGCAGTTCTGGACTCACTGGTTGATCCTCTTGAAAAAACCATCAATCACAAGCCGAAGGCTGATGCTGTGAAGCAAGAAGTAGACCGTAATGAAGATATGATCCGGAGTGCTCTTCGAGCCATTGCTTCCATAAGTCGCATAAGGTTATAACTTTCGATTAATTTTGAAGAAGTAACAAAATAAGTATGCTATTGAATTTATTAAACGTATCACTGATTATTGCACAATTAGTGGGTGGGAGATGAAACTGTGCAACTACTCATGCACAGCTGTTTTGCTAACACCAGACAAAGTCATTCATTGCAATGTGATAGAGCTCTGGACAGGATAAGCTATTTTTTATTATGGGTGGTGGTGTTACATTGGCCTTCCAATTTGATATGCTTCCACAGTTAGTAAATTATGATATGCTTTTGCCTATGGATAGATATGTGCTAAAACCAAGTGATCTACATACCAATGGGACAGACAAATAAATAATCCATTATTCCAATTTAGATACGTACAGCTGAAAAGGAACATTGCCTTTGATGAATTACCCATAATTCTATACTTTTTGTCCTTGAGGGTTCTAAAAGAGAGGGAGCAGAGTTTTGTGCTTCCTGCTATTTTCTGTCTCCAAAATGATTGTTGTGTCAACTTTCCTCTCTATTGTGATGGTTATGGTACACTTCTCATGTTTCATAACCAGTTATCACTGGTTCATATTGTTCTTTCAGGTTTCTATAGTAGGTTCCATTTGGTATGATGTCTTATTTACCCCTTTTTTTTAGCACATCTCACCATTTTAATTGCACCATATGGTCCTGACAGCAAGACAATTGCTACATTCTTGTCATTGTTCAAGTTGCTGATGTATAATGGGGTGATTATATGATGCCGGAAAATCTAGTTCGCATTTTTTGGGACATTTCATCATGTTACTCAATATGGTTCCTATGCTCTATTGAATTTTTAATGCACCTTTGTGTTAGAAGGCTGTATATATATGTATGATGGCTGGTATCTGTTTTAAACACTATGAGTGTTTCATGAAAGGAGCTTGATTCCTCAGGACTTGTTTGTTTCTGTTTTTTATGTTCATATTCATTACACATTGCCTATTGCTGGTTGGTATTTCTGGTTGCACCTTTGTGATGGTTGTATCCACATGCTTCGATGATATGCATTTCAGGAGATTCAAAATGTTTTATTAATTGAGATCTGATATGATTTGAGGTTGGGTTATAAATCTTGAGATATGAAAAATGTTCTTGGTTGGTCAATCTGTCTTTGGTTCACTACTTGTAGTTAAGATGCTGCTTCTGATGTGTTTCTCTTTCTTTTCTTGTTTACATCTGTGATTTATTTTTCAGTGGAGGTGACTATAGCTTGAAGTTCAAGATGCTGATGAATAACATTATGAGCACCGCATCACTCGCCGAGAAGTACCATTTTGTGCGCTCTGAGTGATGGGTTGGGGCTTTCAGCAAAATTCTTAAGCTGAGTAGTACCTTGAGCAAATAGCATATCTGAGGTTCAATTTGTCTGAACGTGAAGATTCAACTATATCACTGAATATGAAGTTTCTTTTTCCCCAAATGGAATCTGGCCTAAAGGGAAGAACAGATGATCACTGTGGTGTTGCCTCCTACCCAATTTTGTATATTGGTCTTGAACAGTATTTGTTGGTCTCGATTTATAAAACATTTGAGGAAAGAGTTGCTACTGTCCCTTTAGGTAGAAACTTGGTTTGTGCATATTGATTAAAGAAGCTGCTTCTGTCTTTAGTTGGAAACTAAGAGGGTCTTTCTCGACTGATACTTGTGGTGGATGATTCTTATGCTGTAGCTCAAGAGACATGGAGTTTACAGGGTTGTAGTATGCGTTTCATCCTCTATCCACTACATTGCCCCGTTGTATATTCTTGCAAGTTCGCATGCATGTGTCATGCATATGGTTGTGGATTTCCTTTCTTATGTTGTTGTTTAATCAATGGCTTTTTGTCTCTTGAAACTGATGAGATAGCCAGCCTCTTCGATCTTGGTTGCAATTTGTATGATATAGAATCGCACAGATGATTAGTTGGTGCCTGTTCTTTGACTTGAAAGTTTGTGATCAGGTACCAGCGCTACTTGTGCGCCCGCATATTGTGTTGTTTCGGTCATCTTTTTTGGTTTTCTACAAGCCTTTATTGCCGTCATACGAACTGATTCACAATGTTAATGAGTTTTTCCTACAATTTTTGACTTATTCTATGTCGATCAAATCGTGTTACTGGACGGAAATTAGAAATGTTCGTGTTTACATTTGTATTCATTAAATAAAAAGATAAAACTGGCCGTAGCCACATGAGACAACCAAAACTAGTTTGATTTTTGGCCTTTGCAAATACAATCTAAGTTAGTGACCTCTAATATAGACTTTCGATTCCAAAAAATACATCATCCCATCTATCTACTTATGTGCCCCTCCATGCATATATCTCACGTTTTGTTATCCAAATCCTAAAACCAGTGTGTAAGCCTTTGTAATTATTGTCCATTCCCCCCATCGCACTGTTGGAATAGCGATTTTGAAACCTTAATTAGGATTAATATTCTTCAATTATTAAAATATATTTTTTAATATAAAACACAAAACAGTTATTCATTGTTATACTTAGTAGTGATTCATGTGACTATTTTTTTTTTGGATATCTGTGGAGGGAATCGGACGCACGTCCCAAATGTTTGGTTCGCTAACCCTCGCGTTCGGACTTCTCTGTTCGCGGCCTCTATGTTTAGGGTTTCGAACTCGTTGGAGTTTTCTTTCGCCCTGTTCTTCCTGGAATTCTCCTGTCTATTCGCGCTCCGCATCGCTTCAAAGCCCTCCTCTGATCCAGCGACGGGAGGTTCCGGCGGAAATTTTCAGGAGCCCTTGGGTTAGAGCTCGAATTCTTGAACTTTGTTCTCCTTCTCTTACAGTTTCGATGTGTTCTGTTAGTCTTTCCATTGCTGCTAAACTGATCGCGATTTGTTTGTTATTACGATGGTCCTTTGGTGGCGATCGTCGAGAATTTTGTGATGGTTCTTGGTGCCGGTTAATGGGGATAGGGATCTAATCCAACAAATGGGGAACGTTCGGTTGTGGCGTGCAAATCAACTGAAAAAAATGATCCAACCGATACACCGGAGAAACATTTCCATAATCATACGAAGGAGTTGTGGATTCGGATCGGTCGTGGGGTGGACCTAATTTTATGAGTCGAATCGAAAACACCACCACGAAGTTCATAAATGGTGGATTTATCTTGATTAGTGTTCATATCTCATCTTGGATTATGGAATTTGAGGGTAGAGGTATAGGGCGGAGTTTAACCCAATTATTAAAGAAAAAAACAAAAGAATTATGTGTTCTTTGCCCTTCTCTTGAATCTGACATGATCTTGCTGTAGATACTTTTCTTGAAGACCTGGCATTTGGAAGCAGAGGTATCTTTCAAATTCGTTTGGTATTTGGGCACACATTTTCAATCATCAAATATATTTGTCTAAAATAATATCTTAGTTTTAAGTTGCATAATATCTTTTGTATTGGTTTTGATAAAAGTCTACAAATTACCACAGTGAAAAGTGAGAAACATCTCTTGGTTTATTGATTCTCAGTAAATACAAGTTTGCGTCAGATCCAGTATAGGTTAGTGTATATGAAGATTGTATCAGTGTTCTTTTGTTTAAGATATGTCAATTAACTCTGAGAACTAATTCTGCTTTTCCAAGTTGACTTTCAGTGCAAACAGAACACAATATCCTTTCCTTTTTGAATGGCAAATAGTTTAATGTTGATTCTTTTTTCAGATATTTGCTGACCTTCTTAATTGTAGATGCATTTTTTATGACTAAATACAGCTGTTTTCTCTACCTTAAGGAGGGATTTCTTTTTATTTCAACTTGCCTTGGAGAAACTGTTCTTTTCTTTTTTTTTGACAATTTTAATCTTATTTTGATTATTATTTGAAATATTTTCTGATGAGGGGTGAAGCAATGGCTGCTGACATTAGGTTTCACATAGTGCATTAAGTTTGTTTCAAATGTCTTAAAATATACACTGCCCTTTCTTTTTGTGGCTGGTGGTAACCAGAAGGAAAAATAAAAACAAAGAATAAAAGAGAAGAACCTACCAAAATGAATGGGGTTGATGGTAGGTTTAGGGTCTGGTTCTATTGCTTTTATTGTTAAAACGTAGGTTGATGACTAAGTGGAGTTTCTTAATTGGTTGCAAGGGTGAAAGTCGTGTACGAAAACACTCGCTTCTTGTAGATGTTAGATTGCATATGTTGACTTTTCTAAACTTCTGTATTCGTAAAAGCATAGTGTTGTGACCCACTTTTTTCCCTCGAGGGTTAAGGGTTACATCTTTGTTATTCATTGTGCAACAATGTTTTCTATTTTCTCTTCCCATCTAACAGGATAGATCGAAATAGAAAATATTTTCTTTCTTGTATGCATTAGCCATCGCATCCTAGTTGTTGAGTTTGCACTGATCTAGACCTGAATTTTATTTTGTTCCAAAGTATAAACATGTCTAGCTTGTCCCATGGTGCTGCTATCTGGAGCAAAATCTAGAATTGTTATGTATCATAAAATCTTTAAAATGCCTTCATATTTGTGAAAATTAAGCACTGCATAGCAAAACTTGAATCAGAAAGTTTTGAAGTTTTTAATTGGACATAGTTTGAATTCCATAATTTGAGCTTGGTAAGGTTAATAATAGGACTGAGTTTAGTGCAACTCTAGCCAACCAAATACCAATAGTAACCAAGTCTGCTAAAGACATTATGTACGTTATACATCGATTGTCCAGCTCAAACAAATCTGTCCATTATGTGTAACGTATTCAAGCATGTGCTATTGTTGAAATCTTTTTTTTATTGAACATCACTCTGAAGAGACCGTTATGTTAAACTTAGATTTTAAGATTCTGTTCTGGACTAAGAAACACCACTAGAATCCTGTTTTTGCTGTTTTGATCTTATTCAACACTATTGTCTTCATAATTTAGTGCCACTAGCTTCTCAAATCCTTCCATGGAAGCTGGCTTCACCCTTGTACTAGGCAGATTTGTTGTTCAAGAATCAAATAATACTTGTGTTATTTTTAACAGCCATCAACCTTCTACTGTTAAACATCTAATTTTTGCATTATTGAGGGTACTCAATGACATTAAAATGCTCATTAAGCATGAGTCTGTCCAAAATGCTATATACAAAGTTTTTCTTCACATCAGTCAACTTTTTACTGCTAACTGTCTGTCTCTTCCAGTGTTTGATGACGCATCATCATCCTGCCAGCTGCTCGAAGTGTCATATCTGTACATTCTTCTGCCTCTGCCACCGCGCTTGGACATGCTTAAACATGATCCACAGACGAACTTCGCCGGAACCTCATCAAGATCATCTATCCCCGAGCATCTTGTGTGCTTCCACACTCCACACCTGTCACATGTTAACATTCTCTCGCCATCATCATCTTTGGTTCCACAGGTGCAATCTACTGTCCAACTCTCTGTGCCCCTCTCCATCCGCAATTGCTCCAACTTGCACCCACCTCCCAAGCACCTTCCGCGAACTTGAACAGAATCATCTGGGCCTAGCAGGAAACTGATTTGGGTGGCATCATCAGCATATTCACCATTTACTAAAACCTGCTCTGCCTGGAACGATTGCAAGATTAGGTATGTCTCCTGGAAAGCCTTTGTTGCTTCAGATTTGAGGTCTGCAACTGTGGCATGTAAAGGTAGTAGCAAGAGCTCTGGTGGGGGGGCTAAGTAGTTCTTTGGTTTGTCAGCTAACTCCATTCGACACCATACACGAAGTGTGAATGGATGTGGATCCACCAAGTCTTTATTTTTATCATAGTGCTTGATAAATTGCTTGCAGTCGAGAATTTTTGCTGATGAACTCCGGGAGGCCTCCCACACTGACCGTGGCTCGTAAGGCTGCATGGTGGCAGGGTTGAGAAGGGCATCGTACAACACCCTGAGGTCATGAAGAAGACATTCTTTGGAAGGTCTGCATAAGCGTCGAGCAGATGATCGCTCGTCCGAAGCACGCTCAAGTCTGAAGAGGCAAGTAAAGACATCAGTTTGCAGGTTAGACCCATATATTCATCTCAAGTGAATAGGGAGGAGGCCAACCTGTACTCAACCGAGTTCGACTCAGCATTACATTTGACTGCGACAACCAAACCATCGGCCACTGCTCTACCAGCAAGTTTCCTGAGGCAATAATCCAGCAGCTCTAACGAGCCAATAGACGAAAAGGTTGCCCCTCGAAGAGCCCGCCAGGTAACCCACTTGGATTCCTTAACAGCTTGAAGAATCTTGATAATGGCATTCTCTGCTCGGTTGATGTCTTCCTGTCTCCATGTGCACATTGGCAGTGATTCAGGATCTTGTGATTTTTCTGTTGCATCAGCTCCCAAATTCTTCTCACCATAGCAGTCCTTGATCTGCTGAGTTATGAAACAGAAGAGGTCTCTCAATGTCTTCAGTCTTCGAGGTGAAAGGAACACATAAAGGGCAATGGTCTTCTGCAGCTGGGTGCTAAGTGATCGGTCATCAGGGAGAGGAGTGCTGGAGAGACCATCCACTGCCTTACGGTAAGCCTCAGTGGTGTGACCAAAGCTGCCGGAACCAAACTGGTATCCCCAGTTTCCATACCATGGCTGGCCTGCGGTGACAGCTTGGAGGAGCCGGAACTCCATGCCGTGCTTCTTGGACACATCCATGACGGAGATTTTTCTGCTAGGGAAGAATCAATTTTGGGGTAGCAGCAGGGATGAAACTCTTGTTTCTACAATTCATGCGTGGAGGCAGTGCTTATACCTCTAATAAGCTATTAACTGATTATCCAGTAATCAGAATTTGTTCAGATTGTTATCCAAAGTATCGATCTCAAATTACATTTGAAACCCTTTTTCATTAGTTCATACGTAGCACGCTTTTCATTTGAAAAAAAAAAAGGCCATTCATATAACATATTGGAGTTATCGGTAGAATTATTTTCACAGTGGTTATTCCGATGTCAAATTCCATGTAGTTGCAAACTTTGTGTGGGTGACTGAGCGCACATGGTTGCAAACTTCCACAAGGAGTATTCCACCAAATAGTTGGCTAAGGGGACACCTTTACCGATGACCGTTGTAAGGCATAAACAAATTAAATTTTATTATGCAACAAGCTACTTTTACCTTACAGTGAAATCTGATCAAATGTGTTTCATCGCATTCAATTTCATCACATTCAATTTCCTCTAACTACAATGTGTTTCAACTGGTTTATAGCCTGTCAAAAGATTACCCAAAGAACAATATGGCCACAAGGGAAAATTGTTACGAATATCTCTTGACTACCGAAGACAAAAAAAGGCCTCATATTGTAGCTAACAAATATCGACTTCATGGTGTACTGCAAATGTACAATTATATAAATTGTGTCGTGGATAATAATTGTTTCGTTCGGCGTCAAGAAGAACAGTAATTTGTTTGATTCCATAAAAAAATTGCATCTCCGGATTCTAAAGCGAATTAGAGAACTGATTCTTATGAAGTAAGATTTCCGTCTAAATTTGATCTGGAGAAATAGTACAAAGGATACGACAGAAAAAAAAGAAACAATATTATAAAACCCTTTCTTATCTCCGATAAATTATTATATCATCGTCTTATAGCCATCGTGTTACTACAATCGTAACTTATCTCAAGAATAATATAATCTTCTATCAGTAATCTCTTCGTCTTATCTGATAAAGAATCATCAGAGGACTATCATCGGCAAAACGATCCAAGTGCTACAAAATTTTACATATATGCTTTCTGAAATAAACAAAAAAACTTTTTCTTTTCTAAATTAGTGCTCGAATAAAAACAAATCTCACGATCAACAAATAAAAATATATATTAAAAATAAGATTTAATGTGATTCAATAAATCCCTACATCATCTCTCTCCATCTATATCCATGAAAAAGATTAAATTCTTCCAAGAAAAACCAATCAAATTCTCACGTAAGCTTGAAAATTTCTTTTTTCAATCGAGCTAAGATTCAAAAATGCATTTACAGGAATAAATCTTAATTATCTAAGCACTATTTTCTTACTTAAAATTTTTTACTTTAATTTATAAACCTAATTTATCAAGAAGTTTAAATTTAATTAAGATCATAATATGAATACAATTAGCACTAATAAAATACTTATCAATCCTAACGATTAAATAATTTTTATTCGATTTTATTTTTTTAAAATATAAACAAAGGAAAAGCAGGAAAAGAGGAAAAACGCAACGTTATTTTCTTATAAACAAGGAAAAAGATTACTACAATTACCCTTTTGTTAAGGTGTGTAAATAAATGCAAAGATGTTGGATATACCTGACATTGAGTAATTTACACAGTCGATCCCAATATTCCATCAAGTCGCAACCTATTAAATTTTTCGAGCCGCCTTCACGGCCGTTAACCCTCAGGAGGTGGCCATATCCATTGGCATGCACCACACCATGCAACAAATGCGTTGGGTCCTCCAACTGCAGAGATGCCCAGTCCTCCAAATCAAGAGAGGTTGACTCATAATTGCAAGTACTGCACCTGCAGGTTATGCTGATACTCAATGTTAGAATGTCTCCTCTTCCAAATAACCTCTAAATATCTAAAAACTTCTCTAATTACATTCGATCAATCTTAATTTTGATGTGTACTTTAGGATTAAAAGATCAAAAAACTGAATAAGAGAACACTGACGTTGATTGATTACACGCTAAGCAATGGACATTCTATCCAACTCTCCTTTATTTTCTGTCAAAAGATTTTGAGAACTCGGAGATGGAGGACTAACTCTCAAGAATCTCATACCTGAGTTCTGAGAAGCGACGCGGCGCCCCACAATGTCTGCAAGGATGGTGCTCGTAAGAGGAGGATGGGCTGCTCTCGTTCCGGATTATGAAGTGGTATCGCGTTGAACACACTGGATTCGTACTCCAACCTGTTGATCCAAGCACATGAATCACACATCAAGACGTACTCATGAAACTTAATATCAAAAGTGAAATTAAATAGCCAATAGTTTCTCCTCTAATTTACTGGATTATAATATGATTCATCAATGTTTACTCAGGATAATTTTCCCCATCCTTGTACCCGCTCGCACGCCGATAATAACCAACAAAAAGACGGAATCGCGCGTTGATTAATTAGATCGTATTATATTAGACATCAGAGAAGGCATAACGAAGCCCAACAAGATCGGCGACGCATCGTCGAGGTGGAGGACTCACCGACGATCCTGCAATGGTCGCAGTAGATCCTCCTCGATCTCGCGACGTCCTCCTCCACCACGTCCAGATCGACGGCGGTGTCGCCCACCCGGGAGGACATCCGCCACGTCCGCAGGCGCGGCAGCGTGGGCGGCGCGACTCGTGCTTGTCGGGCGATGAAGTACCTCACGCAGTGCCGGAACGGCCCGCAGGGAGCGATCTCGCCGGCGCTTATGCCGTCCGGGAGGCCCAGCATGCCGTCGGCCTCATCCCGGCGCCGCGCCCGCTTCAGCGGCCTGCCGTCGACGGCCACGGCATCCACTCGAACCATCGATCTCGGAGGCGGATCGCAGACTCGATTTCGATCTCGATCGCAGAGGTATAAGTAGACGCAAGGATTTGGTGGTGGGGGTTCGATTTGAATCGGATTTGGGGTCCGAAACCAGAGCGGGAGAGACGAGGGAGAGCAAATCGTCCCTTTCGGGATTCCGAAACCAAGGCGGTGACGATATCAACCGAGGCTTCTATAAAAAGGGTGTGCGAGGTCGGCTGCGTTGAGGGGTCTAATTATTACTACGTCGGTCGATGCGCTACCGGAGGATAAGTTTGAACACCAAAAGCGCCCGTTTTGAAACGTATGGCTACCGCTCGGCCACGTCTCTCGTGCCAACTGGCACGCTTTGACTGGCCGTTGCTCACTCCACGGCTCGGTTCGGCCCGGCCTGGTCCATTTAATCTGGCCCACGATCTATTGGGCCCCGTTGACCAGAGACTAATCGACAGGGATAACAAAAGCATGGACAACATAATACACTTATTTTACTTTAATTTGGAGCTTTTTTCTTCTAATTTATCATATATAATTTTGATCTGCAGCTTTAACATAATTAACCTTGGAGCATTTATGTAATAAAATTAGGCATATGCAAGGCTTAAAAAGAAGGGGAGGCCAAAGCATTTCTTGGTATCTTTTCGAGCTAGCAGAGCATGCAGCTTTCAGGGAAGAGCTTACACCAAGCAAACATGGGTATCTTCTCCCACAGACACAAGAATGGGCATGAGTGTGGCAAGGATGGCGTCTTTTAACTTGGACATTACGTCCCCCATACCAACATGTCCCCTTCCCACCTCCACACAGTGGCAATGACATGTGATGAAGAAAGGGAGCGAAGAAGACAAGAATGAAGCATAGGCTGCAATGATGTGTCGTGACATTTCTTACTGTTAATGAAAGATGAAGATTACTAGCGCTGAGTTTGATATCAAACTTAGATTTAGAACTTTGTTAGTCTTAAGAGCGATAAGAAAGGTATCATGCATGGAGGTGGTGGTCTTCACAGTATATTCCGAGGAAATCAGCTGATGCTAAGGGAGGCTTCACCAGAGGGGCCATGGTTGGGCGCTTTAGTTGACAGAGACGGACTGGTAGAGTACCATCTGGCCCAGAAGAGGTAATTGACGAAGTTGAGGAGGCTGAGAGCCGCCAGGAGCCAGTAGAAGAGGTCCAGCCTGTCCTTGTTGAGGTCATTGTCACTCAGCCACCCACCACTCGACGAGCTTGATGTGATCTTGTTCACCAGGGAGACGAGGAGGGAGCTCAGGAAGAACCCAAATGAGTAGGAGCAGTATGTCATGGCTGTCAGAAAGGACTGCATCCCCCCCGCCGACTGCTTGTAGAAGAACTCGATGAGCCCCACCGCCGTGAACATCTCCGACAGCCCGAAGACGAGGAACTGCGGCGCAATCCAGAAGATGGACAGATGCTTGTGTGGCCCGACAGCTTCCTCCCTTCTCTTCTTCTCGATCAAGGCGGCCGAAACCATCGAGAAGGTCACCGTGAAGAGGCCGACGCCGATGCGCTGCAGGGGGGTGATCCCAGACTCCTTTCCGGTGAACCTCCGGAGGAGAGGGACGAAGCCGGTTTCGTAGATGGGGACGAGCACGATGAGCATCATGTAAGGGATGGCTTGGAATGAAGCCGGAGGGATCGTGAAGGAGTTCCCCACTCGAGTGTCCATGGAGCTTCCTTGTTGGACCGAGAACGTTTGGAGCTGAGCAAGGATGGTGTTGAAGATGATGGTGCATGCAAAGATCGGTATTACCGAGAGGACCACTTTCACCTGCTCGACTTCCGTGGCAGTGCATAGCTTCCATGGGCTCTCTTTCAAGCTCGAGCCATCTTGAGCTTTGATGCAGGCTTTGTCCAAAAACCTTAATTACCAGGAAGGAAAAATGTTGCAGGAGTTAATTGCACACTGTCTGAGCATACTTTTACGACCAAGAAATGCCAACCTGAACTTGTCGGTGTGCCTGAGGCTGTTGACACCAGGAGAAGGTTGATGATGATCACCAGCATGCTTTTGGCTTTGGTGTATCAACTCAGAATTAGTAGAGGGGCAAACTTGCTTTCTCTTGCTAATTGCTGCTACAAAGACCTGCAAGAATAACTTTTCTTGACAACAAGAACATGCACAGTTCAAAGATCATTGAGGGAACAGTGATATGATCCATGCATGTAGGGCTGCAGTCAAATGCATGCTTTTGAAGGAGAATTAAGTATATTATGTGTGACATGAATCCAGTGTATTCCTGTTCAGAAGTATATAGAATATCTACAATGATTAGACGAACATGAAAATGAAATACTCATGTCAGTACAACATTCGTGTTCCCAATCAGCTACATTTTTTTCCCTGCAAGACAAGCCATCAGTACAAGCAAACAAAGACTGCGATCATTTCAAGCATTAATTATGTGCCTTGTCCTTTCTGATACGGATAATAAAGTAGCAAAGGTAATAAAGTAAGAAATGCTACTTTTTTTCTGGAGCTATATCTAAACCTGAAGAACACAAACACAAATATTCTATCAGTTTCATACGTCAACAAGCAGACCAGTACTAGTTTGACCAAATGACACCAAACAATCTCTGTAGACTTGATAGAGAAGGATGGAAGTCCCCAAAGGACTTTCCATCACCATTCATTGCAACCTTATCCTTTGTCAGTAATTTCGACTATGATGAGCATTAAACAATCTCATGGATTCATCGAGTCAAAAGAGATGAAATCATGGATCTTACTCTTGCAATAGGGGTGAAGATGCTGCCCTGTGGAGGCTTGTTTCTATAGAAAACAACACCGGAAATTAAGCTGATGAGGCCCATCGCCATGGCGCCTGCCGACACGCCGAAGCCGACATCCATCCCGGAGCGCGTCTGCACCCAAACGAGAACAGTGAGGGCGATCAGCTCTCCCACGCAGAAGCTGAAGTAGGCTGCGTTGAAGTATGTGGAGAGCTTCTTCGGCTGCTTCGGATCGTCCCTTCCGAACTGGTCCGCGCCATGGGCTATCATGTTAGGCTTGAGGCAGCCACTCCCCAAGGCCACCAAGTAGAGAGCAAGGAAGAAGACGGCCGCCTTGAATCCTTTGGCCTCCACGCACTGCTCTCCCGTCATCATGTTGCATGGTGGTGGCCTCAGCTGTGGAAGGTGTGCTTGGACTGCCAGTAGTATGAAGCCCTAAATAACACCAAGACAGAAATAATGCAACTAAACCACATGCAGGTGTTTGCCTCGAGAAAAGAAATCACATGTAGGTAGTTGATGATGGGAGTATTCAGAGCTCCGGTCGTGTGGGTTTGCCACCGCCAAGTGGCTGAAATATTTGCGATTTAGATGGAAAAAGCTTACTATTTTTCTAGGCTATAAAAGATAAGGTTTAAGCAGTCACATTTCATCACCAAAAAGAATCCAAGTAGTCATATTTCATGACATTATCTTCTTTTTATTTTGTATCTTATGGATGGACAGAAAGAGAAGAACAGAAACATGGTGGTATCCCTCGAACGAGTTTGCAAGCAGTGGGAGATGGAACTTACCGAGAGCTCAACGAATCCAAATGTTAACATAGTCCAGAAGCTGCCCAGATAAGAATCTGAGAGAAATCCACCGAGCAGGGACAAGATGAAGATAGTCCCCACGAAGTTGGTCACTACGTTTGCCGACATCGACAGTGAGAAGTGCATCTCGTTGAAGACGTATGTGATGAGGTTGTTCCCAACAGCAGCGATCGCCATGATTTCACATGCTTGAATGCCTTGAGAAGAGAATAGATCAGTTCCAATATGCTAACACAGGAACACAGAGAGAGAGAGAGAGAGAGAGAGAGAACCTAATACGAAGACAGCAGCTCTCATGCCGCCATGCTTGTCGTGCTTGCAGGGCCTGCCCCTCCAATCAAGAGAAACTTCAGCAAGCATGGAGTCCCCTTTGAGGTCCTGTCTTGTCTCAATATCCATAGCCTCTTTCTACACACACAAAGAAACTCTCTGTCTCGGTATGAAGACAATCTCTTCGAATGCTCACAACCAAAGAAAAAGGCCCTCCGTCCGAGAGATTTTGGGTGAATTCAAGGCAGGCAGATGCAGCTATTTATAGTACAGAGAGAGAGAGAGAGAGAGAGAGTGTTGTGAACAGTGATTGGCTAGTGGGTTTCCATGCTGGCGTTGGACTGTCAGAGTTTGCTGTGCCTCTCACCGAGCAAAGTGGGGAAGAACAGCAAAAATATGGTCTCCCACACAGAAATCCTTGGGACTTGATTGCTTTCCTCCTCCTCTACTAATGCACAAATGATCTGATTTCCTTGCTAAACCTGAATCTTGAATCAAGAACAGGATTGTTAACCTAAAAATGGTGATGCAAGTGATCTGGGAGGCAGAAAGTTCTTCTTCCCAACAAAAGCCTTTTCATGCAACAAATTACCTGCACAAGTACATGCACACAAAACATACTATCTACCAGCAAACCAGATGTACATTATCCATGTTTGTTGCCAACCAATGTTCCTAAACACTAATACATTAGGAATCCAAAACCATCCAAAAACTTGGTTAATTGAAAAGAGAGTAGCAGGTGAAGGAACAACAGTCCATCTGACAATAAGAATATGTTAGCCAAGAGTTGATGCTTGAAAGAAGGAATATGTGGGACATAGATCTATGCCTGTCAAACCAACCTATTCCTATTTCTTAGTAGATTAAATTAAACTCACTTAGATGTTCCCCACATTTTTCAAAGTTTGTACTTATGATAAAAGTTAATCTAAGTTGGATTGCTTGTGAGTTTGGAGATTATGATATCTTAATGAAGCTCACATAAAAACAAGATGAATTACTTCTCATCTTCTCCTTTATCTTCCTGGTTGTCTTATCATCACTAGTTTTGGCTTTGGCAGTGCATGTGTATAAGTTGAACAACACATGCAGGTCAACACTGGTCACATGAATCCAGCAACCAATAGCAACTTTCTACCCACTTGAATGAAGTGGATATACTCACTGGATGGATCACGGACTTGCATACGTTCCTGATTAATGTAGCAAGTTGCAGTATCTCATTGGAATGAACAGTTGACTTGTTTCCACTTTTCTTTTAATTTGGATTAACCATATATCACATCTAGCTTGTTTTCTTGATGTCCATACAGTGAGGAGATGAGTTGAAAGAAAGATGTTTACTTTTCCTTAATATCAACAGCGAAATCTTGGAGTTTTAGTAATATTGAATACTGTTCTATCTTTTTTGGCTTGATGGATTTTATGTGTGTTGCTGTTCCCCATAAATGCTAGAGCAAGAAGTTGACTGGTTTTGTGGTCCTTGATAAGAACACAGGCACATGATAGTCAAATTCTAGGCAGTGTATTTTGGATAGGAATGTTATCAAGAGTCCTCCAAAATTGAATACAAATAAATACCATAAGATTAATATGATTAAATCATGAAAATAATTAAGACTAAAAAATATTTTATAACTTGTTTTTTTTAGGATTCTCTATATAAAATTTACATCATAAAATTAATGTCTTCAAAACAAATAGTCAACTATGGTATTTGATTTTGAAGGAATCCTTTGTGAAATTTAAAGGATTTTTTAATATTAATATATTTCGACAAATGTCAAATAATTCGAATTAGGAGGTGTTTTTTTTTTCTGAACATAAAATACATATTTATACTCTCGAAAATGATATTTATCGTGTCCAAGTTGAGATGCTTTCTTCTGACTATTGATCTGCAACAGTCAACGAAAGAAATAGATGACTTAGAATCTGGATAATCTTGATTACTTGGAAGATGAGAAAGCATGAAAGCTAATGGTGGTGTGCTAACAACCATCACTACCGATGGACTTGCAAGTCAACTCCTGTGTTGAATTCCATGAGATATCATTTTAATTGGAGAGTTTTGAGGGGGCAGAATCATCCCCACCCACCTCTAAAAGCTACGCAGAGCAGCACATTGTGCTGTGCCGACCGACAACATCACCTTCCATTTGTGTTGCTCGCCATGAAAGGTCAGAGGCCAGTTGGATTGCTTGGTCTCTGAGCACCCCGAAAGTGCTGCATTATGCCTTTTAGCAGTCTTGTTCCTGCTTCCTTTTCTTGAGGTCCAGAAATCTATGCTTCTGACCATGGCCTGTAATCCACCACCCCGTGGTTTTCTTCCACTGCAAACCAACGAGCGTCTTGAGATCATGGGATGCTGCAGCTGGAGTGAATCTTGACCTGAGGGGTTCCATTGGATACGGCGTTGCTATTGAGGTCAAAAGATGGGAAGATTTGGTGCGTGTGTTGGAATCTGGAGATCGAGGTTAGCTGTGCTGGCTAAACTTGTCGATTTCGGATGACTCACCACCCTCGGTTGGAGATCGTTCGTGCTCTTGCCGACGCTGTCATTTCTCCGAACAGGGGGTGTGCTTTTTCCATACTCATCTGGAAGAGCTCGGCACTTCAGACAAACGGCTGGGAATCCACACTGCTCGAGTATCCAAATCAACAATGATTCGTGGTCTGTATTCAACTCGTGAATTAACAATGATGTTGGTGGCTTCGGGAGACTTGATGATGCGTCCATGGTCCTACACACTATTCATCGCCACTGCTTCTTCCATCAACCTTTCTATGCAATGGGGTTGATCAGCCTCTGTTTGGGCCTCAGCAAGACAAACTCACAGCTTTCTTGCGACTGAGGTCTACTGAGAGGGAGCGACAACAGGATGACAAGTTTGACCACAAGAAACACCATGCGCTTACTTGTTGCAGTGGGTGTCTCCCTCTGACAAGTGCTTGTCACAAGAGGAACAACTTCTTCCTAAGGAGCCATTGATGGATCATAATAACTGAGTAGAGACAGTCTTTGTTGCATAAATGTAGGTATGGATTTTATCTCTTATTGTTCTGTTTTTACAAAATGTTATGCCACACAACAAAATCATCAAATGATACAAAGAACAGAAGTTGATTACTGCAATATAAAACATTTTCTTTGGAAGATATTATATCAGACTTTGCTCAAAATTTATTCAGCTATGTTAAATTTGATTACAACTTTTCTCATAGCTATACACCAAGTAAAATATGGGAGTATTTCTTGACATCTGGTTTACCCTGCATATCACTGCATTTCTTTTGGATGACACCACCATCTTATTATGATTGGTCAAAGGACATATAGTATTCAACAAAAAGCATGTAATTGAATCTAGGCAGCAACATATGCTGCAGAGAGGAGCATGAAATGACTAGTCTCAATGAGTGTTGTCATGGAACACCATACCAGCCTCAAACTATTTGGTTCTTCCCTGCAGAAGATGATGTCTATAATCTATCCTAAGCTTCCATCATCATCTCCTCATCCACTTGGAACAGCACACAGAAGGCCTTAATCACCACTGGATTATAAGGCAGCTTAGACAGATAGATGTTGGTGAGTTCAGAGGTCCACATTGGATTAAACTAGGTGCAATGATAGCTCCCAAATAGGCTTTGGGAAAAGATGAGCCATTTTAATCCTCAAGAAGAACAGAGGTAGGTCCTCAAGTATACAAAGGAAGCAATAAGATGCCAAGGGTCCTGGAGCTCAAGCATGTCAGTGCTTCTCCATCTTGCTTCCTTTGACTAATATGTATGAGTAGTCCTACTTTTTATGCAGCAATAAGGAACCTATTACTTTTCACCAAAAAACATTTAGAAATATGACATAAATCCAGTTTGTTTCACTCAATTTAGCTCAAAATAGTGCAAAAATCTTTTCCAGATCTAGTTAAGAAAAGAAAGGAATCATCCTTAAATATAAAGTTCAATGGGTAGAAAGAAGAATAAACTTTACTTCAATGAACCATTGAACTTGGAGAAAAGTGTAAAAGAAGTTGGGGGCAAGCTTTTTTAAAGGCACAATGTTGGTTGATAAAGCACAAATAAGCCAAGGAGACAACTGAATCCAGTAAAGTTATTTCATCTCATATCAGCTGAAGAACACAATGCTTGGTGGACTGTTCTGGCTTATGATTCTTTTCGCTAATGCGTTTTGAAGCTTAAATATCACATAGATCATGAAAAGAGTAGGAGATATGAAGTAGCTGAAAATTACATGAATGAAGAATAACAAAGCATCATTTCTAACAATTATAGAATACAACTATAGATCTTGTTTCAGTGATATTAACCTATTTGGACCTCCCACCACAGCCAGTATATTATGAATGTAGGATCTAACATTAGCTTTGCAACTAATAAGTCACATACTTCCTCTGTTCTTGATCAATAAGCCACATTTTTCTTATAGACTTGTCTTCACAAATAGCTCATATTTAAGTTAGGTCATACACATTTTTGAAGTCTTGCACTAATACATCATATATTTAAAATGTTTGAACATGTTATTCAAGTCATCATGGTGGTTTTTCATGATTTCCTCTATGATTCAGAGAAGTAAAATTCTTTTGTGGTTTGAGAGTCACATAGTCCTATATTATTCAGAGTAAGTAAAAGAAGAGTCAGGATAGAAGCATTAGGTAGAATTGAAGAGAATATTTACAGCCAAAAGGGTTCACTTAGGATGCTTGATGTTTCTTTCTCATAAGATATAGCATGCATTTAGATACTTTGAATTTGATAAATATATGCAATAATCGACATAATCCGTATCAAAACAAATGCAATAAGAATGCATGATTGTCCTTTTAAAGCAACTGGATCAAATAGATAATGAAACATATGGAACTCTAGATGAGTGAGAATGTCAAAATGAACTTTAGAGAATAATCTCTTTAGTAAAACAGGGTGATCAATGAAGAAATAGCCACCAGTCATGAGTCATCAAATCCAAGCCAAACAGAATTTATATCACAATGTAATCTCTTTAATCTCATCCCTTTTTTTTTCTTTTATGGACAGTAAAATTACATGTGCCCAATCAACAGCTTATGTGCCATCTTATATAAACTAAATTATGATCAATCACAAAACTTCTTGATGCATAAAAAACATAGCAACAATTTCATGGAGACCAATCATAATTGTAAAGCAGCTACTGAAAAGAAAATTAGAGAAGTGCATTGTCTGGTGATGCAAAATGTAGAAG